TCTGCCTTCTTTTACTCAACTTTATGTGTATAGGATTGATCTATGTGACTACATTTCGTAGTTGTTTATTCATTTTCATTGCTGTATACTATTCCACCATGTGCCTGTATATAGGTTGATATATATTGATACACATGTATCAGTCACTATTTACACATTCTGCTGATAGTCCTTAGGGTTGTTTATAATTTTTGGTTACTATCAGTAAAGCTTCTGATAATATTCTTATCCATGTCTTCTGGTAAACAGAAGCACTCATTTCTTTTTTTTTTTTTAATTTCTTAAAAATGTTTTTGTTTCAGAGAGAGAGAGAGAGAGAGAGAGAGAGAGAGAGAGAGAAAGAGAGAGAGCACTTGAGCAGAGGAGAGGGGCAGAGGGAGAGAGAGAGAGAAAGAGTCTTAAGCAAGCCTCCATGCTCAGCATGGAAACTGACACTGGCTCCTTCCCATGACCTTGGTCATAACCTGAGCTGAAGTCAGATTATCAACAGACTAAGTCACCCAGATGCCCCATAAGCACTCATTTGTATTCCATATTAAGCCAAGAGTGGAAGTGGTGGATCATGACATATATATATGTTCGGCTTTAATAAAATACTGCCAAACATATTCCAAAGTGTTTGTGCCAATTTATGATCCCATCAACAATTATATGATAGTTCAAGTGCTCTGTATCCTTGTCAATGTTTGCTATTTTTAACTTTTAATTTTTGCCATTCTAGTGGGTATATATTTGTATCTAATCGTTTTAATTTGCTTTTTCCTGATGACTAATAATACCAATCTTCTTTTTATGTTCATTAGTCATTAGGATATACTCTTTTGTTAAATACCAATTTAAATCTTTTGCCCATTTTTTCCTAAAATGTTGTCTTTTTTCCAACTGATTTGTAAAAGTTCTTTATATATTTTAGACATTTCTTTGTTAGATATATGTATAAAAAATATATTTTCCCAGTATGTGGCATGCCTTTTGACTCTTCATGGTATCTTTTCATGAAAAGAGATCTTAATTTTCATGAAATTCAATTTGTCAATATATGATTGGTGATTTTTATGTCCCTTTTTCCTCCCAAAGAGGTAGGTAACATAGGAAGCAGTAGGCTTGGGGAAGGGGACTTTTGGAACGCTGCCAAATCCACATTTATCCACCTACCAGGTATGGATTTTAATTCAAGCATAGGCTTAATTATTGGATCTGTTGGGTGTATAAAGGGGAACATGAAGATACTCTATTTCCTACTTGAATTGTTTTACCTTCCATATTTAGGTCTCTTATTCACTTTGAATTGATTTTTGGGTATGGTATGATGTAGGTGTCAAGGTTCATATTTTTCCCCATATAGATATACAGTTGCCTGAGCATCACTTTTTTTTTTATTGAAAAGAACTCCTTTCTGCCCAAATTATAATGGCATGTTTGTCAGAATTTAAGTGATTTTGTGGGTTGGTTTCTGGACTCTTTATTCTGTTCCATTGTACTTTTTCTTTATCCTTGGCCCAATACCACACTGTCTTAATTACTGAAATGTTAAAAGTCTTACAATTTGGGGCACCTGGGTGGCTCAGTCCATTGAGCATCTGACTCTTGATTTCAGCTCAGGTCATGCATGATCTCATGGTTCGTGAGTTTGAGCCCTGTGTCAGCCTTGGTGCTGCCAGCAGGGAGCCTGCTTGGGATTTTCTTCCTCTCTCCCTGCCCCTCCGCTGCCTGCACTTTCTCTTTCTCACTCTCTCTCTCAAAATAAATAAATAAACTTAAAAAAAAAAAAAAAAACTCTTGCAATTTGATAATAAGTTCTCCAATTTTGTTGTTTTTCTTAAAGATTGTTTTGGCTATCTTAGGTCTATTGCCTATGCTACAGATTTCCATAATAATGTTAGAAACTAGTAATTTCTAAGAAAAAAAATCAGCTGGAATTTTTATTGAGATTTCACTGAGTCTACAGGTATAGGAAGAACTCACATCTTAACTCTGTTAAGAATCTTCCAATTGAATCTTTTGAATCTCCCAATGCATTATGATTGTATATATCTCTATACCCCATTTATGTAAGTCTTGAATTTCTCTCAACAATGTTGCACAGTTTCAGCATAGAATTTTGCTCATGTTTCATTAGACATATTTATTTTGATGTTTTTGATGTCATTATAAATGATTTGACTTTTTCCCAATTGTTTGCTGCTGGTTTAAAGAAATATAATGGATCTTTATTGACCTTGTACCCTGTGACTTTGCTAAATTCACTTATAAATTCTACTAATTTGTAGATTACTTTGGATTATCTACTTACAGAAACCTGATATCTATAAGTAAGATAGTTTTCTTCTTCCTTTCTAATCTCTATGCTTTTAATTTCTTTTTCTTGCCTTTATTGAACTGGTTCCAACCTCCACTTGTGTTAAACACTGCTGAATAGAAGTGTGAGAGTGAACATGTGTGTCTTGTTCCTGACCTCAGTGGGAAAATATTTAATACTTCACTATTAAAATTAGCTATAGTGTTTTTTAGATATTCCTGGTTTGCTGAGAATTTTATCATACTGTTATGATTTTTTTCACAGTATTGAATTTTATCAAATGCTGCACCTATTGAGATGATCATATGAATTACCTCCTATGCTCCATTCATTATATCTTTGATTTTTATTTTATTTTTTTGTTCTTTATACCCTTGATTTAAAAATTTTAAGACATAAATTCACAAATTCACAATTGTACAAAATGATATGGGGTGCTGGGTGGCTCAGTCAGTTGAGCGTCTGACACTTGATTTTGGCTCAGGTCATGATCTCATGGTTTGTGGGGTTGAGCCCCACATCAGGCTCTGCACTAACAGCACAGAGCCTTCTTGGGATTCTCTCTCTCTTCCTCTCTCTCTGCCTCTTCCCTGCTCACTCTCTCTCTAAATAAATTAATAAATAAATAATTAAAACTTTAAAAAAATAATATGAACAGATTATGGGTACTCTTTACCCAGTTTCCTTCAATAGTATCATTTTTCAAAAGTATAGTACAATATCAAAAGCAGGATATTGACATTGATAGAATCCACTGGTTCTATTTGTGTTTACACTCTAATTTCTGAATGTTAAACCAACCTTGCATTCTTTAATCATGAAATATGTATTACTAGATGCAATAAGCTGATATTTTGTCAGGGATTTCGCATCTATATTCATGAGAGAGATTGGTCTGTAATTCTCTTTTCTTGTAATGTCTTGCCAGGTTTTGGTGTTAGAATTATATTGGCCTCATAGAATGATTTGGATGTGTTTTTTTTTTCTCTGTTCTCTGAAAGAGTTTGTGTATGTTTGCTATTAAATCGTTTTGAAATATTTGGAAAAATTCACCAGTAAAGCAAGCCATCTAGGTTTGCAATTTTCCTCTTGGGAAAATTTTAAGTACAGATTAGATATTTTTTTATAGATCGAGGGCTATTCAGAATTTTTATTTCTTCCTGTTTTTCAGAAATGTTTTTTAAGAAACCATTTCCATTTCATTGAAGTTGTCAATTTTATTGGGAAAAGTTTTTTTCCCTTAATTTCCTCTCATGATATTTTTCATAGTGTCAGTAACATTGTAGCAATGTTTCCTTTTTCATTTGTTTCTTGTTTTCTTTTCTGATTAGTCTTACTAGGGGTTTTCAATTTCAATGAGCCCTTCAAAAAACCAGCGTTTGGTTTCGCTGATTTTCTCTTTCTCTATCTTTGGCCTTATATTTAAAACATGTTCCTTGTAAAAGCCTTATAAGTAAAGGTAGCTTTATTTTTTTTTTAATTTTTTTTTTCAACGTTTTTATTTTTGGGACAGAGAGAGACAGAGCATGAACGGGGGAGGGGCAGAGAGAGAGGGAGACACAGAATCAGAAACAGGCTCCAGGCTCCGAGCCATCAGCCCAGAGCCCGACACGGGGCTTGAACTCACGAACCGCGAGATCGTGACCTGGCTGAAGTCGGACGCTTAACCGACTGCACCACCCAGGTGCCCCATGTAAAGGTAGCTTTAAAATGGAGTGTTGATGTCAACTTCAGGCGTGGTCACAGTCCTTGGCTTGCGGCACCTGTAAGAGGGAAGTGGTAATGGTCTTGAACAGGGACTCAACAGTTTAGACTGAGTTTAGAGCTGAGAGGAGAGGGATCTCACTGTTGGTGGAATTTTTTTTTAAAGTGTATTTATTTTGAATAAATAAGTGTGCACGAGTGGGGGAGAGGCAGAGAGAGAGAGGGAAAGAGAGAATCCCAAGCAGGCTCCTTGAGATCATGACCTCAGCTGAGATCAAGAGTTAGAGTTCGAGCCCCGCGTCGGGCTCTGGGCTGATGGCTCGGAGCCTGGAGCCTGTTTCTGATTCTGTGTCTCTCTCTCTCTCTCTGCCCCTCCCCCGTTCATGCTCTGTCTCTCTCTGTCCCAAAAATAAATAAAAAACGTTGAAAAAAAAATTAAAAAAAAAAAAAAAGAGACACTTAACCAGCTGAGCCACCCAGGTGCCCCGTGGTGGAATATTTTTATACAATAATTATCACCCTCAAGTTTATTTCTTTCCGAAGTGTTTTGTATTTATTATAAATAGTGTTAGATGAAAGAATAGTCTTGAATTGTGGACTGGCACCCTCAGAGAGAAAGATTTGTAGTCAGTGCTATGCAAACCTCTAAATTTGTCTTAGAAAATTTCTAATTGAAATATTTCATATTGGAATGATAGATTAGTCAGCAGATTTTTAAGTGGTAAGGAAACTTGGAAACCATCTAGGGCCCATTATCATGCTTCTGAATACTTGGATATGGAAATATAAAGTGTACTTTCATTTTTGTCACTCATGCCATGCAGATAAATGAATAACTGAATACTTAGAACTTGGATTTTAAATATCATTATGACCTTTAAAAATAACTGGTTTAATAATGGACCAAAGTGTAAATAAAATGGGCAAGTGATATACTTCAGTTCCCAATGAAAATTTATAAGGAAAAGTTGTTATTTTTACTTTGTAGCTTTTAGTCTTAGAGAAAAGACTTCATCATTTTGTATGTGATATAGCTTTCTGGGCTCTTGACATCTTCATAGAATTTGACTGGAATTTCTGTCTCTTGAAAATGAATGGGCATCTTCTTGCTCTCCACACTCATGAGCTTCACTTGGAGGGGACCCAAGTTGACATAATCCTATGATAAACAGATATAGAAGAGAATATGAGAGGTTATTCAACAAGTTACCAGTCGTTTGTTTGTTTGTTTGTTTGTTTGTTTGTTTGTTTTGAGAGAGAGAGAGAAAGCAAGGTGGGGAGGGGTAGAGGGAGAAGGAGAGCGAAATCCCAAGCATGCTCCATGCTTGCAGGACAGATTGATACGGGGCTCAAAGTCAGGAACCCTGAGGTCATGACTTGAGCTGAAACCAAGAGGCAGGCACTTTACCGACTGAATCACCCAAGTGCCCCAACAAATTACCAGTCTTAATAGTTTGGTTTCCTTGGAGCATCTGGGTGGCTCAGTAGTTGAGTGTCTGACTTCAGTTTAGATCATGATCTCGTGGTTTGTGAGTTTGAGCCCTGCATTGGGCTTTGCGCTGATAGCTCAGAGTCTGCTTGGGATTCTCTGTCTCGCTCTCTCTCTGTCCCTCCCCCACTTGCTTTCTCTCTCAAAAATAAATAAACATTAAAAAAATAGGTTTCCTTTATTATAGTTGGCCTTTGTCTGACATTTCATTGTCCTTTTTAACTGACTGAATAACAAGTGAAATATGAGAACCACTGTAAACAAAAAACCACTAAATACACTTATATACCCAGTGGGGAATGTAAGGCAAGACCTCCCAAAGGGCAGGCAGCAAGGCTGACAGGCTTGTCTTTCAGGGAGTTGGATGAGGGGCACCAATTAGAATGGGGAGATATATTCTCTCAAGGTCTTTAATTGGTAAAAGAAAATGTTAGCTGTATGTATGTAGCCCTCTGCTGGCCAGGATATAAACACAGCAGAGTTTTCTATATTATTCAAGAACAATGGGAAGGATTGGCAAAGGTTACTTCGACTATAAATATTCTAATATTGAGAAAATTCTCCATGAATTTTCACTTTTCACAGGACCAATGGCCACTGTAGAAGAAAGCTTACCATATTCTGCCAAACTAACTGTAATTTAAGATACCAACAAACAGAAATCTAATTTACTGATGGCTCAGTCTATTGAGCATCTGACTCTTGATTTCTATTTAGGTCATGATCTCACGGTTTGTGGGTTTGAGCCCCACATTGGGTTCCGTGCTGACAGCGTGGAGCCTGCTTAGGATTCTCTGTCTCTTTCTCTCTCTGTCCCTCCCCGGCTTGCACATGCTCTCCCTCTCTCAAAATAAATAAATAAACATTAAAAAAATGTCACTTGTTGTTAGCAGGACTGAGTTGTAGTTAGCTAAAATGGTTTTTGTTTGATTTTTTTTTTCAGTATCTTCTGCTTTCATACATCATTTTATCCTACCAGATTTTAAGTTCTAGGAGAACTCTTATTTTGATCTTTTTAAGTTTATTTATTTATTTGGAGGAAGAAAGAGACAGAGAGAGAGACAGAGATCAGGGATCATGACCTGACCTGAAATCAAGAATTACATGCTTAACCAATTGAGCCACCCAAGTGCCCCCTAAGTTCTAGGATGACTTTTAAAGTTATTAGTAGTAGCAAGAAGGAAGATAGCAAGGGATAGATGTGGGAGTAATTGGAATATACCAAAAAGGTTTTAAAATTAAAAAGCTTTGATACTCCAGATTTCACCTAATATGGTATATATGGTGGTTTGTACTTTCCAGTGATGGCCACAGTAATAGGTATCCTGTCCCACATGATTTCTTTCTTTTTTTTTTTTTATGGTCTATTTTCTCTATCCATTTGCTTTCAGTTTATACAGGTCTTTATATTTAAGTGTATTTTTGTGGACAACATAGAGTTGGGTTGTGTTTTTTGATCCACTATGACAATCTCTGTCTTTTATTTATTTATTTATTTATTTATTTATTTTTTCAATATATGAAGTTTATTGTCAAATTGGTTTCCATACAACACCCAGTGCTCATCCCAAAAGGTGCCCTCCTCAATACCCAAAACATGGGTATTGTAGAAACATGGATGGAACTGGAGAGTGTTATGCTAAGTGAAATAAGCCATACAGAGAAAGACAGATACCATGTTTTCACTCTTAGGTGGATCCTGAGAAACTTAACAGAAACCCATGGGGGAGGGGAAGGAAAAAAAAAAGAGTTTACAGTGGAAGAGAGCCACATGGTTTCTTTATATATATATATAAAGGAAAGAGAGGGAGAGAAGGAGGGTCAGAGAGAGGAAGACAGAATCCAAAACAGGCTCTGCATGGTCAGCGCAAAACCTGATGTGGGGCTTGGTCCCATGAATTGTGAGATCATGACCTGAGCCAAAGTTAGATGCTCAACCAACTGAGCCACCCAGGCACCCCCCGCATGCTTTTCTTAGAATATGATGCTCCTTCCTCTTTTCAGATGCAGGAGCTACATTCCCTCCCCTTGGGTGGAGCTTTGTAACTACATCAACCAATAGAATATGATGGAAGTGATGGTGTGTGATTTCCAAGGCTAAGTCATACAAAATATTGCGGCTCTTACCTTGGTCTCTGGTATTGCTTGTCCTGGGAGAAGCCTGACACCATAACCAAGAGACAATAAAGGCACCCCACGAGAGGCCCGTGTGATGAAGAACTGAGGGTCCCAGCTTGGCCAGCATCAACTTGCCAGCCATGTGAGTGAGCCACCTTGGAAGTGGATCTCCTCCTACTCTAGCCAAGCCTTCAGGTGACTGTAGCCCCAGCTGACATATGACTGCAACTCCTCAGGGCCCAAGTGAGAAGTGTCCAGTGGAGCCCTTCTCAAATTCCTAACCAACAGAAGTTATGAAAGAAGTTATAAGCCACAGAAGTTACAAGCCACTAAGTTTGGAGATGATTTGTTATATGGCATTAGATAACTTACATTGTATACTAGGAATGGAACTCTATTAGTGAATATACACAGCAAATTGCACATGGGTAGGAGTGAAAATTGTGTCTAATGAGAGATGTGAATGGTGGGCCAATTTTACTAATAATTGCAAACAGAAATTTTCAATATCCGTATTATAGGTTGATTTTCTCCATTAATTAATAAAACAGCATTCTCTTAGTAGTCAGAATTTTTTTTGCATGAATCTTACCTTGAAATCCTGATCATCCTCATACAGTAAGTATTTCATATCAGAGGCCCCAAACCCTGTGCATGAGTCACTTTCCTCATCTGTCTTCAGGTCCTTGCTGTACCTGGTCCCATCCTCACGAGTGACACATAAAGCACAGCTCTCAGCTGAGGAGCTCATCGTGTTTCCACTTTTTACTTCCACAGATTGCAGTTTTGACTCTTCTGGGATAAATACAAAGAGATTGGTTATTTTGGGACAGATAAAAATGAAAATGCAATATACACTTTGTCACATTTTTAATTTGAAAGATCTTTGAGGAATGTAGAGTCTACATATTAATGTGAGAGTGAGCCCCATTTTTAGAACCTCCAAGTTTATTCCATTCTCTTAGCTGACAGGTTTTGGTAATCATATGGTAACTCGTGTGTGTTGTTATTTTGGTTGGTTGGCTAAATTAGAACCCAGAAATACACCAGTATAGACAGCACTCCATCCCTCTCCACCGGTATTTATGTAATACTGAATTACATACACCATGTGAAACGTGGTGACTTGAATTTGAAAACAGGACTAGAGAAAGGAGGTGGGTTAGGACAAGTGCTGCAAGGAGAAGAGAAATATGGAGAAACTGGCACATACCTATTCCCTGAATAGCTCTTGGGTACGAGGTACCTGTCATAGATGCTCAATAAGTAGTTGTTATTTAAAAAAAAAAACCTGTCACCATTACGATAAAATAATACCTTTAAATGTTTCTGGCAACTCCAAAGGCACTTCAGGTGTCACTGTCTGTCCAGCAGCTTGAGTAAGATACAGTCGCCTAAAAAGAACAAATGAGAAAAGCAGTCTGTCAACAAACATTGTACCATCTGGTCACTGGTGTCTGTGTCTCTGCTAGGTTCTGGAGACACACAGATGAAAATTGAGACAGTTTCTCCCCTGGAGAAGCATGAGGCCCAAGGGGGTGGCAGATGGACTTACAGTACTTTAGGGTGACATTCTGTACCCTGATGGGTGATGGGGGTAGTGTGAGAAGTGCTATGGCACAGAGAGAAGGCGCACCTGGTTGAGCTTTTAGGAGGTAAGGGAAGGTTTCCAGGAGGAGATGGGACCTGAGTGGAGTCTTGAAGAACCAGGGGCTATTTGCCAGGGAAGAGTTTGGGGTGAGGAAGGGCATTGTGTGATAAGGGAGTGACACACTTAATGTTCTGGAAATGAAAGTGAGCTTGGCACCAGTTAGGGTGCTGTTGTAGTAGTCCAGGTGAGCAACAGCCGTGGCCTGAATGAGTGGTTTTAAGATGGAGAGGGAAAGAGAAGGACAACAAGCAGCAAGAATCCCAGATGACATCGAGGTGCTGTCTGTCGCCAAGTGCCATGTTGCAGCTCCAAGCCTGGGGAGCTGTACGTCTGCTATTGAAGCTGTCTGGGCATGCGTTTAATCCTGTTCTCTGCTTTGCAGCGCCCACTGAACTTGCAACCAGAAAATACGATTTCTGGAAAGCTCCATGTAACTTTTCCATGAAGTTTTCCCGAAGACAGCATGAATTGCACTCTTGTCGATAGTCAAACCACCCCTCATGCTTAGCAGCTCAGCAGTCAGGGTGAAGCCCCTGGATTACAGGTTGTCAATTATTTAAAGAACATGAGTAAAGCGTTCTTCAAAATGCTTAAGTTTCAAGCAAATAATGTAACTACATACAATATTTATGTTTATAAGACTTCTTTTTTTAAAAAAATGTTTACTTATTTTTAATGTTTGTTTATTTTTGAGAGATAGAGACAGAGCACAAGTTGGGGAGGGGCAGAGAGAGAAAGAGGGAGAAAGAATCTGAAACATACTCCAGCCTGTCAGCACAGAGTACTATGCAGGGCTCAAACTCGGGAATGGCGAGATCATGACCTAGGCTGAAGTCTGACGTTCAACCGACTGAGCCACCCAGGTGCCCCTAAAAAAAAATGTTTACTTATTTTTTAGAGAGAGCACACACGTGAGAGTGTGTGAATGGGGGACGGGAAGGGGGGGATGCGGATAGCCTGATGCAGGGCCCGAACTCACTAACCGTGAGATCATGACCTGAGCAGAAGTCAGTCGCTTAACCGACAGAGCCACCCAGGTGCCCAAGTGGTTTTACCCTTTTGAATAATTATGATCTTACTAAATGTCATAAACTTCATAAATCTGGATTCTGTCTCAATCATTAATTTATTGTCATTTTTATACCATCATAGGGCAACACTTGATGATATAGAAAATATTTAAAGAATGCTATTATATAGGTATTGGTCCACTTAGTCTAGTTCTGTGGCACTGGAGTCCCTGGGAAGTCACCTCTGGTGGACATTTACCTCCTCTCATGTGTTAAACAAATACTGTGATGTTCTTTGTAAGTTGTGAAAGGAAAATGTCTGGGGAGCATTGGATGGGAAAGGTAGTAACTCTATTAGCTAGAATACCCCATTTTTCAGCCAAATAGGAAAACAACTTTTTCTATTTCCTCTGGGCACAGTTTGTGTCTACTTCTCACCCCATTCTAGTATTATATAGGACTGAGTTCTCAACAAATAGGTGAAAATGGAAGTTGCCATAAAATATGCAATATGTGTTATATTTCTTTGACTTGAAAATGGGTTACAGTAAAAGCTGCTGAATATGCTTGGAGTTACCCTTCTGGAAAAGTAGTGTAACAGCAATGAAGGGTTTACACATTTCTGTTCCTTTATGCAGATCTTTCTAAAATGTCCTAAACACTTGCCTCAGACAATTTACAATCTAGCAAGGAAGCAGACATTAAATAAGTAATCGTGAGTATGATAAATGCTGGTTATGAAGGAAAACCATCCTTGGAAGCATATACCAGGGTACCTAACCCAGTTCTTATAAATGTCGCCCATGCTGTTTCTTTTTGCTTGGTCAGATTTTGAATTCATCTCTCCCAACTCTAAGGCAAGACAAAACACTCATATCTCTCACTGAAGAAAATCAACCCACAAGGCACTGATGAACGTTGCCAGTTCTACTGAAGATTTTTGTGGGGTTAGGGGTTAAACTGGATAGGGTTAAATTGCATAGGACACAGCAAACAACTTAATGAGAATCTCCATTAAAAGTTTCTCCTCTCCCTGCCTGTCACTGCCAAGTTCTCTCTGGCCAGTGAAGGAATTCCTCTTTGTTGTAACTAGTAATTCACATCCATGGCAGCACCAAATCAGATATGCCAGACTGAGCTGATCAAAGCAGCAAGCGGAGTCATCTGTTTGGAGGGTAGCTCCTTCCTAAGGGAAAGACGACAGTGGATGGCAGGTACAGCAGTGCCTGTTAAGCCACAGAGCCAGCACTGGCTGCGGAGATTAGACCTGACTGCTAAGAAGGCAGCAGCAGCAGGCGGGACAGGAGAGTGGAGCTGGAGACCTGATCAGACAGAAGACAGCTGGCAAGTGGGTGTGCTTATTATGGGGCACAGTGAGGCCCTTCCCCAGAGGACCCCTCAAGAGTATCAGCTCAAGAGACTGGGAATTCAAGCATCCAGGAAACAGCCAATTCATTCGGCCTGACTGTCTGCCTCATCTGCATTGGTGTCTACCTCTGCAGGGCATCACACAGACATTGTGGAAGGGAGCAGAGGGCCCCTTTTTCTACCCGGCCCCGCCCAGCTTTCCGCCTGCAGCGCAACTGCCCTATCTCCCAGTTTCTCCAATCTTGTATCCTGATGCCCATCGCTTAGCCCAGCAAACAAAACCCTCCACAACTTACCTGTATCCACACATCAGGAAGTTTGCAAACAAAAAATACCTGATTATGTCACAAATGGTATTTTTCCATGCCACACAAGCCACAGGAACCATTTGGGTAGAAATTTTTTCATGGTCCTTCCACCACGTTGAATTTCTCTGCTTTAATTCCTAGACCTAGACATTTGTTTCCCATCGAACACATATACACCCTACATTTGTGTGATTCTTTCCCTTCTCATGCTACTATTTAGATTATTTCTTGTTTCTGAATACCTGCCCAAATTATAATCACCACTTTGAGTTTTAATCCATATTCCAGGGCCCTAGTTTTCCTCAAGGCTGGTGTATTAAAAATTCTTTTGTCAGGCAAGAAAAAGAACCTAAAATACACATTTGGTTTCTCTTGTGCAGGAATATTTTCTCTGCCTACAAGATAGTTTGACTCTTCCACTAACTACTAAAGGAAACAATTGTACAGTCCACAAGGTAACTAGAAGCCCAGAAGACCTCCAGGAAGTTACCACAAAGTTGATCACTTCCTCGTTGTGCTAACTCCACACCTCATACTTCTTCTGCTTCACAAGTATGCTTTGATTTTTATGCCTCTCTTCCCTGCTGACGTGGAGGATTTTGAAGGTCAGCAGTTGTGATATTCATGTTAAGTGTTTGCTATTATGACTACAGTGCATTGCTAGAAAAAGCAAGCCACAGTTTGCACTGTACCAATGGTCGATTATAATATTACACCTTCATCATGGCTGTTTTGTGAGTTCTTTTCTTTTCAACAATTGTCATCTTGCTGGAGTATCAAATATTAAATCATCTTTTAAAAATAATAACTTTTGGGGGTGCCTGGGTGGTTCAGTTGGTTAAATGTATGGCTTTGGCTCAGCTCATGATCTCATGGTTCATGGGTTCGAGACCCACAGCAGGCTCTATGCTGACAGCTCAGAGCCTGGAGCCTGCTTCAGGTTCTGTGTCTCCCTCTCTCTCTCTCTCTCTGCCCCTCCCCTGCTTGCACTCTGTCTCTCTCTCAAAAATAAAATAAACATTAAAAAATAAATAAAAATAACAACTTTTTTACAGATACAAACATTGACAAACTACTTTCTAGATATGCTAATGACTTTCACCTGGGTATTTTGAGATCCACAAGTCTACAGTTGAATAGTTGATCAATAAGCACCAAGTTTTCTTCTTCCAGTTTATGAATAGTATTTTCTAATTCTTCAATTTCCCTCCTGTGATTTGCAATCTGTTTTCAGAAGAAGAGAATGAATGTTGGTACTTGTTGACTTACTTCTATCTAGTCTTTTATAAGAAATTCAACTCTTAAAAATCCATTTGCCTAAGGGGAAGATCTATCCTGTATTATTGATTACTGGGTTTGTTTTGTCCTTCCTCTCTAAGAAGGAATAGGTGGGTCTCTTTTCTAGATTATGTGCAGTACTTTTTTGGCAAGGCAGTTATTAGTGAATGGTAGGAGTTGTCCTTTCCTACCCTTCAAAAACATCACTGGACTTATCTATGAGCTGGAGGTATAGATAAACAAAATAAGACTAATTAACTTATCCATGTAAGTGGGGGAAGATGGTGATAAAAACAGAGAGCAGTGTGATCAAACCATAACGGAAGCTGTCCAGGTATGGGGGGGAGGGTTACCCTATGTCTAGTGTAGGGGATAAAGGGGAATTAATAGAGGAGATGACATCTAATCTGGATCTTGAAGGCCAAGTAGGGATTCTCTAGGCAACAAAAGAGGGTACATTCTAGGCAGAAGGAACCACATGTTAGGCACAATCATTTTGGTGTAGATAGCTACAAAGTGGAAGCGGGGAGAAGTAGGAGAGAAACTGGACAATTAGGGAAGAGCCAAATAATGCTAACGGGTCTAGTTTTTCTTTTTTTTTTTTTTAATATAATTTATTGTCAAGTTGGCTAACATACAGTGTATACAGTGTACTCTTGATTTGGGGGGTAGATTCCTGTGATTCATTGCTTACATACAATACCCAGTGCTCATCCCAACAAGTGCCCTCCTCAATCCCTATCACCCATTTCCCCTCTCCCCTGCACCCCCTGCATCAACCCTCAGTTTGTTCTCTGTATTTAAGAGTCTCTTATGGTTTGCCTTCCTCCCTGTTTGTAACTATTTTTTCCCCTTCCCTTCCCCCATGGTCTTCTGTTAAGTTTCTCAAGTTCCACATATGAGTGAAAACACATGATATCTGTCTTTCTCTGACTGACTTATTTCACTTAGCATAATAAAGCACTAGTTTTTATTTTGCAGGTGATGGAAGGTCATTCACAGACATAGCAGGTTTGACGTTTAGTAAAGAAATGTGGCTAACTTAAATATGAACATGCTGCTTCTATTGACAGAATCCCCATCAGTCTTTAAGAAGTGTATTTTGATAACTTTTGTCTAAAGAAGGCTTGATAGTGGGAAAAATACACAGAATGTTACTAGACAGAACTCCCAACTCACCTTTTTCCCTGCCTCATATAGTATGAGCTATACAGGTGCTGCCCTGAGAGATGCTCACAGAAAGAGGTCAGGACGATAGCAAAATTAGAAGCAACAGTACAAAAGAGAAAGCAATAGACTGGTAAGAATAATAGAAAATAAACTGGAAAAAGTATTTCAGAAGAATATGATGAAACAAAAAATGTTCAGGGGTTTAGATTCAGTATTTCTTGTTAGGAGTTGCCAAGAATACTTAGATAGCTAACATTTTTGATTTGTAATTAAATATATTTATTGTATTTTTGATTTGGGAAGCATTCCGTATATTACCACATTCCTATCTCTATCACATAAGTCATGTATTACATGCTTGAATTCCTACTATGGGCAAGATTCTGTGCGAGACAGAGGGACACAAAAGTGAATAAGGCATAGCTCCTTCCTTCAAAGAAGTTTACAATGCAGTGAACAAATACACAAATATTTGTAACATAAAACAACACTGGTACCATAGAAAAGGCTCAAATAGGGGCGCCTGGCTGGCTCAGTTGGTAAAGCTTGCAACTCTTGATCTCGTGAGTTCGAGCCCCATGTTGGGTGTGGAGATTACTTAAAGATAAAATCTTAAAAAAAAAAAGCTCAAATATTGCTGGTGGCTTGGAGTTCAAAAGAAAAGCATATATTTTTTACCTGCCTTAAACAATTTAGCAAAACCGTTTGAGTCCATAATACTAAATTAGAAAGCAAGAGGCTGGTGCTTTAGGATCTCATGTGTTAGGAGATAAACAGTTCAATTACAGGCTTGAATGCCTTAAAGAAAAGTTAATAATTTTCAAATGTCAAAGGATGAGAAAGAAATTATATTTAGAGGTTGTAAACAGAAGGAATTGATAGAACATTTGGAAATGTTTGACCCAAGGACTTGGCATGCTTGGGAGGCAGCACACACAGTTTTTGGTCTTCTTCCAAAGCTTGGAATGAGGGCCCCTTGGGGTCCGACCTCTCAAGCTAAGGATGTCTTGTGGCATCACGTACCCCTTTGGAATACTAACTAAGGTTCTCAGCAATTAATGTCTCCTTTCCAGCCTTTCGAAATGTTAGGGAGATGAAAAGTACCTTTAGATTTCTAGGGTAAGAAACTGAAAATGAAGAAGTAGAAGACTGCTTTTCCTTCCTCATCTTCCCCATCCTCAAATATCCAAGAAATTGAGAAAGAATTTAGTTAAAACTATTATAAGTCAGAGACCTAGGATCCTGAATTAAATGCATGTTCTTGAAATTTTCCCCTGCAAGGTCCCAGTTAGCTTTATGCCTCCTCACCCTTGAAACTCTGATTACTAACCTCTTTGAATCCCTTTCTTTGTCTAGTTTTATTTGCCTTCTATTTGTTGAGTTAGTCTAAGTCATTTGTAAATTTCAGTTTTTCTTCATTTCCTTAATATGCATACTAAATAAAACCAGATAATGGAAGTCATGCAGGGGACATTTCATATCCTTCCCACAGATCTAACTGTTTGGTTATTGTTGAAAGATGGTTAAATGGAGAAATATTTTCAGGAGTTCCATTATTAAATACCCCTTGTTACTCATTCTAAACCTTCCTCAAAGAAATTAATTGACATACATTATTCCATTTCCAGGCAATTTTCAATTCTTATGATAATACTTATAACCAGAGATGGTTTTAAGTAATTTTGGGAGTAAATTTAATAATGCTAAAATAAATATTTATTGAAATAAGGAGAAATTAAATCTACTAAATTTCCTTAAAATGATTTGTCCTTTATTACTAAGCTCTTTTGTTCATGATTTAATTAGATTTGACATTTTTTGTGTCTTTTATTTCTACTGAATTCTGAGAAGAAAACAAAACAAAATGTAATTTGTGGCTTTAGTAGGAAGGCTCAAAACACCAAAAAAGCCTTTCTTATCAAATATAAATGTTTGCCATCATTTTCTCTGAACCTAATATCTATGACATCTTATAGGATTTAAGGTTTGAATTGTGAAATTATTATAATTAGGATTATACTATTGTATTCAATAAAAGTATCAAAACTAAACTCTTCCCTAATACTCTTTAACTGTTAAGCTCACCTTGAGTTTTTAAATTTTTTAATTTAACTTATTTTGTTATTATATTATTATTATTATTGTTGTTTTAAGTAGGCTTCACACCCAGCATGGACCCCAAAGCAGGGCTTGATCTCATGACCCTGAGATCAAGACCTGAGCTGAGGTCAAGAGTCCGACCCTGAGCTGATTAAGCCCTTCACTGTGAGTTTTTTAAAATCAATATTCATTTTTCAAAACTGGGGATTCCTCTTGATTCATTTTGGAAGTAGTATGGACTCCTATTGACCATGACTTTATGAAGGCAACTTAAAGATAATTGTCAATATTATAGAAAGCACATTAATTTTTAAATTCCTTGTTTCCTAGTCTCACCAATACTGTTCAGCCAAATAGGAGGCAGGGAAAAAAGAAAAGAAGGTGACAGTGACAGTTTTACTTCAAGTGTCTGAGCAGATGGTGAAAAAGGAAATGCAAGAAGTGAAAATTTAAGGAGAAAGTTAATGAGTTCTGCTTTAGGTATGTTGAGTACCTTTGGGACATCCATGTGGAATGATTTGGTAGGCAAATAAAAATATAGGTATAGAGCTAAGGTATAATGCTGAAGAAATCACGTTAGTGATTTGAGAATGACATACATATAACTTGCCAACAAGAGCTGTGTGTAGTTGAAGTGAATTCTTTCAAAAGATACTGAGTTTTCTTTCATAGATGGTATCTAAGCACAGTTTGGGTGACTCCTTGTTTGAATGTAAAGGCAATTTCAAAGTAGTGAGTTTTGCACATTTTCTGTAGCACCCTTGTAACATCTAGACCAAAGATTATCTACCTGTTATATCCAATAACATGCTCTCACATCTTCACCCAAGATCTAAGCCATGTACTTGATTCATTGCCCCAATGAGTATATCTATACTCATAGACATTCTTTCATTCAATAACTATTTAGTGAACATAGATTATGTATTAGTTTTCATGGACATGTAGTTGAAAAGGCATAGCCTGCTCTGTGCAATGAGGAGATAGATGCATAAACAGACAATTTCAACATATTTTAGCAAGAGTTACAATGAAACAAGAGAGCACTGAGGAAAAAGTACTCAAGACTTTCTGGGGGAAATGCAAAATGATTCAGAAAGAAATTAGTCATCAAGGTCTGTGTCTAAAGAAAGAGTCAGAGTTTTCCAGGCAGAGGAGGGTGAGAAGGTAAGGAGATAAGGCAGAGGGACTAGTATGTACAATGTAAGGAAAACAGGACAGTGCCTCATAACAAAGAAGGTCTATAAGTCCTCACATGATCACATTCAGCAAGAGCAATATTGTAGCACTGGTATAGGGAGACAAGTAGATAGTTGAGTCTAAGGCAGCATGCTGGGTCCACTGGTTTCTGCATGCTTTCCAGAAGACAGTCTAAGGACCAAGCTAAGATAGGATATAGAGATTGCAGTGGGAAGGGGAATCTTGATCATTGGCAAATGGCTGTAATTGTGGCTTTGGTGTTGGCTGCAACACAATGTCCAAAAGGCTAGAGCAGTCCATTCAGAAGTCACTAGTGCAGGGAGGAGACAGATGCAAGTCCTCTACAGATGAAAGGCAGAGGGAGCAAAGGTCCAAAGGAAATCCTATAGATCTGAACCCTCTTTAATAATACGCCCCACAAGAGGGCATGTAACCCCACCTTCTTATACAACAGGGTCCATCTTCCAGAAGTGCAGGGGGAAGTAAGGAAATTCAAACAACTGAACCTTTATGTAAAGGAGACCACGTCATCCCAAAGGGGCAATTAAAAACAGCAGAGAATGAGGTTAGAATGATCCTTTAGCCTTCCTCCCACCACCCAGAAGGAAGTAGCGTCTTGAGAAAGACCAGATCAATTTAGGGCATGAGAAACTTCAAACATTTGAGTATATTGCATTAATTATGATGTCAAAAAATGACTTCTGATTATTAATGAAATTGTTGATGGTACTCATTGAGTAACAGCTTATAATAAGATTAGGATTCCACTTGAATTTTATTTTACCTCAGCTAGCCACAAATCTGTGTTTTTCCCATGCCTTTAGCTCATAAATGAAAGTCATTTTCAGTTCAAAAAAAACGAGAAAGAAGAAATTGCTTTTAAAATTCCACTCACCTCTCTTTTTAGCCAGTCATTCTCCCGGATCTCTCGGTAGCTGCCTTTGTCAATGAACCTTATGGCATTCTAAAAGAAAGTTTCTGTATTAAGGAAGAATTGTAACATGGTGGTTCAACATCAACTTAGCTGATCATTCATTTTAACTTATGTTTTGCAATTACTTTGGAAACATACCTAAGAACTTTTGCTTCAGTTGTTCTTTATTCTCCTATTGTATTATTTTTGCTGATTTGCACTGCCTAATACAGGTGATTTAGAGAACTCAATAGCAGTTATCCATTCAATTTGGCTTCTATTGTGAATGAACCTGATTGCCATGGTGAAATCAATCATTAAGTAATCTGCTCCTCTGGGACGCCTAGGTGGCTCAGTCAGCTGGGCATCCGGCTTTGGCTCAGGTCATGATCTTGAGGTTTGTGGGTTCAAGCCCTGCATCCGGCTCTGTGCTGACAGCTCAGAGCCTGGAACCTGCTTCGGATTCCGTGTCTCCCTCTCTCTCTGCCTCTCCCCCATTCGCACTGTCTCTCTCTCTCTCTCTCTCTCTCTCTCAAAAATAAATGTTAAAAAAAAAAAGAAGTGATCTGCTCCATAATTAAGGTGGCTGAACTGCAGTGATCAACTATTCTTCAAGTTTATGGTCACAGTCGTAATCCAACATATAGCAAAAAGCATGAATAGATTCTATTACTACCTTTTTAATTTGAGATATTTCTGTATGTCAGTAATAACAATATATATATTTACAAACTTAATAGCAAATAGTTTCAGGGTAGCAGGCTGTAGCTAGACAGTCTCCTGAGAAAGTTATTTTAGATGAAGAAAACAGGAAAAGTATTACTTTGTCAGTAGGTTCACAAAATGTAAATTCATTTTCAATTACTTGTATATTTATAGTTTCACTCAAACTTTATAGTGGATGAAAGATTGTATTTATCTGTGAGGTACTTTTATATGGATACCATGTTATAAATTCCATATTCAGTGACCGAGGGGCACAACCTAAAGAAGAGAAATTAGGAAAACTCCTATAGATCATAAGCATTCACAGGAATAATTTAAAACTATGTTAAGAATAAACTTATCTAAGTCTTTAGTGTTGGAAGATTTGCAATAATTTTTTTATTTAAATCACACTAATTAAACTAAGAGTGGACCTGTATTCCCCAGGAACTAGGAACTTTTATACTCCAGCTACAACTGATAATTCTAAGGTTTCCTGGAACACAGAATTTCATTTGAACAAAAGCAGGACATAGCTCATAACTGAAGTTAGATGGCTAATGGCTTCATTTACCAAAAACGGAGCAGAGGTTTTCAACTTTGGCCATACGATAGAATCTCCTGGACAGTTTGAAAAATCCAGAAGCCAATGCAACATTGTAGGTCAATTACATGAGCATCTCTGTGCACAGGACCCAGGCACTGACTGAGTTAACCAATTTCTCAGGTGACTCCAACATTGCAGCTGAGGTTGTACAACAGTGGATTATCAGAAGTTAAATGTATGCTAAAACAGCCAGATAAAAATGGGGAAATTTCATTCATGTGTGTGAATTATGTAGAGAAAAGAAAATGTATAGTGTAACGATTAAGAGCAGTGATCTGAAGAAGACACCTTAAATTGAATCTCTCGATTCTGCCACTTGCTCTGGGAAAGTCACAAAATTTCTCTGTGCTTCAGCCTTCTCATTAGCAAGTCCCTGCCTTATAGGATTATTGAGAGACATAAATATAAAAGGCTCAGAACAGTATCTGGAACAGTCTTCATTATATATTGAATATGTATATTTGAAAGATATTTGATTTACAGATGCATTTTTAATCATCTTAACTATGTTCAGATCATTTTAATGTTGATTTCACCATTAAGTCATATTCTGTCACAAAGGGGCTGAATTTTATGGGCAGTAAACTATTGGCAAGTTCTCCATAATCCTCTATATTTGCATAAATCTGTAAAAATCATGCAATGGGATGGTAACTGAAAGAACAACTAAACTAACACGTAAGCAACAAACCAAAGCAACTGAAATTCAATGAGGAACTTTAGAGAAGACCAATGCTTATGATTCTGAAGAAGAGATATTCTTGATGAAGAGACAATCCCAGTGGGGACCTCACTAACTGAGAAGGTAGTCTGGGGACAGGGGAAGAACAGTGAAAAGAAAAGATTCAGATATTTTGTGAAAAACAAAAGGATTAGAAAACATATAATATTGGAAACCATATCTCAAACATTTTGTTACGTCCCAAATCTTTAAACCTCTAACAATGTGGAGTACTTTCTTAGGTTTGGATATATATGAAAGTACTTTTTAGACAAATCATATTTCATTCTATAACACATCCAAAACTTTTATTTGATAATTTGTTGTAGTCATTATTACTTAAAAATAACTGAGTAACAATTTACTGAGCTCTTTTTTATTTTTTTATTTTTTATGAGTCACTATGCTACTTAAATCATCTCATTTAGGGGCACCCGGCTGGCTCAATCTGGGTGGCTCAGTTAGTTGAGCATCTGACTTGATTTTGGCTCAGGTCAATGATCCCAGGATAGTAGAATCGAGTGCTGTGCCAGGCTCCATGCCTGGCTCTACACTAAGCATGGAGCCTGCTTTAGATTCTCCCTCTCTCTCTCTCTCTCTCTCTCTCTCTCTCAGTGCCTGGGTGGCTCAGTCAGTTAAGCATCCAACTTTGGCTCAGATCATGATCCACATGGGGCTCCAGGCTATCAGTGCAGAGTCTACTTCAGATTCTCTGTCCCCTCCCCAACCCCTCCCTCACTCACTCACTCACGTGCATGGGCATGCTTTTTCTCAAAAAATGAACAAATATATATAAAAAAAGATTCCTCCCCCCCCGCCTTCCCCCCACTCTAAAATTTTAAAAAAATCTCATTTAATCCTCATACTATTCTTTAAAGGTAAATATCATTGCCAATCTTTTTATATATATATATAAATTAGGAAACTGAAGCCCAGAAAAGTCAAGTAACAAATTTAATTTACATTCCCAGTAAGTGGTACAGCTGTGATTTAAACTAAAGTAACTTTAGTACTCAAGATCTTAATCATTGTTATATACCATGGGAAAAAAATAGGGGAAGAACTTTTGTTTTTAAGAAAATTGAAATATACCTGCGTGGCCCATTCCTTCTTTTGATCCAGTTGCAACAAAGTTTCTCTGATTATTCTCTTTCTAGCATCTTCCAGAGTGACTTTATAGTGTTCTTTAAAAAGAAAATTAGAAGTCTCAACAAGATTAATCCTAGGAAAGGGGTGCTTGGGTGGCTCTGTTGGTTAAGTGTCCAACTTTGGCTCAGGTCATGACTTTGCTGTCCGTGAGTTAGAGCCCCATGTCAGGCTCTGTGCTGACAGCTCAGAGCCTGTGGCCTGCTTCAGATTCTGCGTCTCCCTTTCTGTCTGACCCTCCCCCACTGCGCTCTGTCTCTCTCATTCTCTCTCTCTCAAAAAATGAATAAATATTAAAAAAATTAAAAAAAGACTAATCCTAGGTAAAACTATGGTGTTCATAAATGTTATCGTCCATGATCTTCCCCCCTCCTTTCTACATATTTTTCCCCCCTGAATTTTCAGGGTACATTTTTACTGAAGCATCTAGTACCTTCAATTAGAAGAAATGCTCCAATAATTTACTAACACCTTAATGTGAATTGGTTTAAGATGATATCTCTTCCAAGAATATTTGTATTTTCAAAGAATTGTCTCTCCAAAGGGAGAATTCCCAATACTTTAGTATGTGTGCAGCCATCTACCTTTCATATCACACACTTCTGACTGCACAATGGAAACATAAAGAAGATCTGATTATCTGCACAAGAAACATCCTGTATTTCTGACTTCATCTAACTAAATTTCCAGTATTCTAGGCATGTGTCTCTGTGGGCAGGAAAGACAGAGCCAGAAGAGGGGAGAGGTGTGGAGGGGCTGTGGAAGTCAGCCCCTGGTTCTGAGTTGGGCTCAGAGCAAGAAAGGAGGAGAGATATGAAGAAATGCAGGATTCTTTATTCTTTCCAAAGGTTCTTGTGTCATAGTCAGAAAGGAGAGAGCAAACGATCATAAAATCTTAGGCCTTGAAAGATGCTTAGCAATCATATCAACACTTCTGTTTAAGGAAAGTGAAGTAGTGACATTAAGGTCTCTGTAGAGAGTGGAGAGGAAGAAAGGTGCATAATGAGTCCAGTTTGTTAATCTTCTATTCAACAAACCAGCAGCAATGTGTTCTGATGTGCAGGACACTACTTAAGGCGCTGGGAACACTGCTGAATAAGAAAGAAATTACCTGCCTTTATGACAGGTACATTCCAGTACGGAAGCCTGACCGTTAGTAACCAACCAAATAAATAATATTTTGGGTGGTGATATGTGTGATGAAGCAGAACTAAAATTCTCCATTTCAGAGAAAGTTTTGAGGAGGTAAAGACTGAATGAGGTGAGGTAGTCAGCAATGTGCAACAGGAGGGAACCACACTACACAAATCTGAGAATAATCAAAGTTAGTTGTACCTGATGATAGCATCTATGTTATAAGTTGCTATTAGTTGTATTTTATTTATAACATCTGAAGGATAAGTATTTGCTAGATTTCTGTACTGGTCCACAGAAACCCATTTAACTTATTCTGTAACTAAACAATACTTTTTTAGGAGTGGTGCTGTGGAACCTAACTGCCATTTAGGACACTGTGTCAAAGGGAACATTTTCTCCCCAGAGCAAGTCCGTCAAAGCAGAACTCTCAGGGGTCTTAGGCTACAGGGAAGGAGATCTGCAGATCTGGTCTTTTAGTAGGTTGGAGCTGAGGTTCTGGAAAGGGGACCAGAGTAAAAATTCCTCTTCCATACCTTTCTTCTCCTGCAGTCTCTGGGACACAACAGATAATGAAGAATATGTTGAAGAAAATTAAATGTGCAAGTCTTTGGCGGGCAGTGATCTGAGGCTTCACCACCAGGTAGGGCAGCAGCAAATGATGGCCTTCAGTTGTGACTGTGGTGGGAAGGGGAGGGCGAGAAGGGGGGGCTCTCCCAGGTTGCCCAGTGGCCAGAAAGGGGGCAGGTCAGTTTCTGCCTCTAACAGAATTGGAACAGGAGTGTCTGACTGAGGCAGCAGTTAACAAACACAAGAGTTGCATTTTGGGGACTAGTCTAACTTGACATCTGGAGAATAAGAAAATGAAACTCTTTGTTATTCCGACGCACATGTACTCATCTATAGAGCCTGTATTTTTCTTACTCATCCGGGGTAATCACTTGAATATTTTAATCATTCCAATCTCATCTCTGATAGAAATTGTTTTCAATTCAGTACCTAGTCCACTAGACTGAGGCTGGATATTTATTTGAAATTTCTACCCAACAAAACACAACAAGCAATCTAAAAGTTCCTATGGATCAGGAGTTTAGTTATAGTGATTTTTCATTCTTAGCATCTGAAAGAAACCGTAAAACTGGGAGCTTGATAACATTAAATATTAATTCTTTGCTATAAACCATAAAAAACAGATGATCAGATATGCTCTGACTGAAGTTATACCTCTTTCTATTGCCATATTAACACTAAAACAGCAACAAAAATATCCAGCTCTGTTCCAAGTTCCATATAGAATTCAGTGGACTTTTTATCTTCTTAAAAGCAGAGTAACAAGCACAAGGGAGCATGTAAAAGTCTCATTGCTCTCTTTTGTGATTCACAAGATATTTTGAGAAATAGTTATTAACCACACATTTGCGAATACAGCCAAAGAAGCTATGAGTATATAAATGTCTCCTCATAAAAGTTTGAGCATGGGCGACTATGGCTTTGTGCCTTTAAACTCTGGACTGCTCAGATTCCTGTCTCTGTGGCCACTTCTCAGAAGCCGATCTCAAAGCCCCCCCTGGCTGAAGCTGGCTTTGCATTGTTCTACCTTCCCTGTTGTATCTGCTCTGAGTTGGTTTGCTCCTCCACAGCTCTGTGGGGGTCTGTTGTCCACTTTTCACACGTGTCGGTGTCACACAACTTCACCCTACTGACCACCCACCCTCCTGTGGTGGTGGCCTCTCTTGTACGCTCTCTTGAAGATCACCAGGGGACTCCCATTTTACAGATGAAGAAATTAATGTTCAAAGAAGTAATGCTACTTTTTTGTAAATGTATTTGAACCCTAATCTTTTAACTCACTATTAGCGTACAAAGAAATTTTAGAGATTCCTGTCCTGTATGTCTGGTGAAGGGCAAAAGTAAAAATGCTCTGTGGCTCTGATATCTAATGACTCTTAATAACCCCACGCTTTCTGTATTGCTGGGCTTCATCCTTTTATTGAGAGTCAGAGCCTTGTCCTGGATACGTTAGTGACCATGTTTCCTATACCCACTATCCCAACATTTCCCAGCTAAAGTTCAAGGAAGAAGCTCTAGGTGCTTCCTCCCACTTCCTTCTAGAGCTCAGGGACATACTGAATAAGGCAGTGTTGGATAGCTGACCACAGAATGGTTTGTGCTGGGGCTGACTCATTACCCACGAGGAGGCATGGACAAAGGTCTTTGCTCATCTCTGATTAGGTAGGTGATCACTCCAGCTCTTCAGAATCTCAGGGGTCTTAGGCTATAGGGAAGGAGATGGAGAAAACTGCAAGAAATGGTCTTTGGGAAGCAAGAAGAGAATGGGGACAGGACAGAGCAAAGCAAAGCAGAGGAACATCTGAAGGAGACAGTCCGTGAGAGATAAATGTAGAGAGGAGCCATCCCTATAGCCACCACTTATCTATAGGCTTCTGTTTCCATCTTCAAACTTTGTATTCCTCATTATAAGTGTTATATTCAACAAACATGACCATGGGACATCAAGCAACCTCAGTTTTTTCTCTTCCCTTTAAAATTCATACTGTGAAGCTAGTAATTCTCTCAACAAGATATGTGGCAAATTTCTGATTTTTCTGCTTCCTTTGTGATGATAAGAGGTTCTCAATTGGTAATTAATATATCCAGTCTTTTGTAATAAACAAAACTTTAAATTTTATTCAAAACTCTGGCTATTTCCTTCCAGCTTAGATGCACAACTATATCCTCTGATTTGAGCTTCCTCTTCCCTTAGGGATGAAGGGAAGCATGGAAAGGGACAAGAAAGCTCTCACTTGACAGATACTGTCTCAAGTTAATGTTGCACTTTCTGGTCCTAACTGATGCTTAAGGTTGATGTCTTTTTCATGGAGGTGTTCTTATAGGTTCTTCAGAGGACCACCTTCCCCATTGCTAGTTATTTCACCTGAGTTCCCTTGATGCGGGGGATGTACTGTCCTTAATGGCTGGCTAACAACTTTTCCTTTGGCCTCTGGCTCTCTATATATTCCTCCCTCCCTTACATGCTGGCCTCTAATTCCTCTGTTGGAACATCATCACCAAGATCTAACTGGACAGCATACTAGCCCTCCCTCATAGCATATTCACAAGAAAAACTCTTTCATGCTTTGCCATAACAAATTCTTGAAAGTGTAGCCTCTTGCAGACTGAATATTTGTGTACCCCAAAATTCATATGTTGAAACCTAACCTTCAGTGTGATGGCATTTGGAGATGGGGTCTTTGGGAAGTCATTAGGTCAAGAGGGTGGAACCCTCGTGAGTGGGATTAGTGCCCTTACAAAAGAGACTCCAGAGAGCTCTCTTGCCCCTTCCACCAAAGATGGCTGCCTATGGACCAGGCAGTGGATTTTCTCCAGACACCAAATTTGCTGGCACCTTGGTCTTGAACTTTCCAGCCTCCAGGACTGTGAGAAATACATTTCTGTTGTTTATAAGACACACATTCAATGCACTTTGTTACACCAGCCTGAATGGACTAAGACACAGCCCTAGCTCAGGACAGCAGCCTCCTCATATTTGCTCTGCTGTCAGAATGATTAGTTAGTCCCTTATTCCTTAGATTTCTCAGGGGTGGGTCATAAACTAGACCTCCATGTCTCCCAAACTTCAGGAGACCCATATTGAATAATCAGAGGAATTCCCTTGAAGACCCTCCGTCTTGATTTGAGATGAAGGAGGAAGTACCCTTCACCTGCCCCTTTGGGGGACAATGTAGGACATAAAGCACACCAAGATCTCTTTCTAAACACTGTCCCCTAATTTCCAACAATCTTTGTTTGACCTATCCAACTCCTTTTATAGACTGGAATTCAGTGGTTGAAGGTATGAAACCAGTTTTCTGCCTCATTTGCATGGTGGTATCTCAGTTTACTCTGATGTGGTGTCTGTTATATTGCCACTCCAGTTTAACTGAGACTAAAGAATTTTATTTTAATATCCTCCTTCAGTAACTCCCCCTGCCCCGTCCTTAAATACCTGTTCCTTGCTAGTAAACCCAGTCTAACTAACACAAAGTCCATGATCATGGTTGTGGGAGAAAAATTCCAGAAAAATCGTGGAAGAAGAGAGGCAGTGGGGGAGAAAAAGGGCACTATAATAGTAAGGCTCCGGAAAAATAGATGCAAGTGTTCTGCTCATATTCATTGTCCAGTTAATGGCCCCAATATTTTAATAGCCCCCAGGCAGAGTTGCTGCTGCTAACTGCATGGTTGGGAGAAATGCCTAAATTCAATGACAAGTAAAACAAGCCCACAACAACTACTTCCCATGACACCTAAAGTTGGCTACAGACCAAGGTTCAACCAGGAAGTTATTCAATGTATAAATGTCATTACCATCATCCCAAAGTTGGATTCAACAGCATGACAATTTTCAACCGAAAGAAATCATCCATATTTCTGATCAACATAATAAGTTTATCTGAGAAGATGACTCTTCCTAATTTAAAAATATAAAATAAAGAAATGTTGGGGAAAAAACTTAAAAAATTTTAAACATGTCAGAACAATAACTATTTTAAAAGTATGATACTGGTACACAAATACATAGATCAATGGAACAGAATAGAAAGATAAAGAGAGACCCAAATACACATGGGAAATTAAAGTATGATAAAATCAGCATTTCAAATCAGTAAGGTTAAAATGAATTATCTGAGAAGTGATGTTAGGACAACTGGAAAAACATCTGGCAAAACATAAAGTTGGTTTCCCACCTCATAGACACACACAAAAAACCCAAAGATTTAAATATTAAAATGAAGCCATAAATATGGCTAAGAGAAGAAATATTAGACTATTTATGATCTCAGATATCTTAAAATAAAAACCGAACTTGGGCACTCCAAAACTACAAAATGTCTTCATAATATACCCCACAAACAGAAAACTAGTGACAAATAAGGAAGATATTTGTACTTTATATCACAGTTAAAGAGCTAATTTCCTTAAAAGGTAAAGAGCTCCATCACACAGTAGAAAAATGGGCAAGGGATACAAACAGATGATTCACAGAAAAGGAAATTCAATACATATCCTGACCTTATGAAAGATACTCACTATCACTTATAATAAGAGAAGTGGAAATTAAAACCACAAGAAGATACCATTTTCTACTTTTAAGACTGACAAAGAACAAAAAAAGTTAGCTAACATCCCTGCTGTTGAAGATGTGGGAACATAGGCATCTTCATCCATATGGGGGAAATAAACTTGGTACAAGATCTACAGAGAGCCATCCCTATCAAAATAAAAAATAAATCAATAAACGGGTTCTTTGGGCCAGCCATTCCTCTCTAGAGATACCCAAAAATGAAATTATATAAATATAAGAATATTCTTTGCAGCATTATTTGTAATAGTAAAATACAGGAAATAGCCTAAATGCTTGTGAGTAGGGGACTGGTAAAAAAAAAAAAAAAAAAAATTGTAACAGAACAAAACAAAGTAGCCACTGGAAGAATGAAGACATCCTAATATGTACTGATCTATAAGAATGTTCATATATTGTATTTGTAGCATGCTTTGTATATTTTGATATAAAATATTTCTGATGGAGGCTATATGAGAAATTGGTAATGTGGTTTCATCTACAGAGAGTATCTGAGTGACTGGGGGATATACAGGGGTAGGAAGGTGTCCCTTTTATGTTCTACTTTTCTTCTGAGGAGGAGAACCTTTTGAAAGATTAGAACTCCAAGTCCAGTCTGATTTGGGCCAAATTTACACTACCATTGTGGTGCAGAAGCCCTGAGCTGAGAACTTTACAGAAAAATTGGTCTAGATGTGGAACATCCCAAGAGGGCCTCAGAGGTGGGGATGGAAATTATGCCACAGGAACACCTCCCCAACATAGGGCACCATCACCAGCTGGGTTCAGAATTGTCATCCAGCCACAGTGGTCTTCTGGGTCATCAGATTACTCCATTTATTTTATCCCATGACTTTTCTGTCTCTGGGCCTCTGATTTTTTGTTTTTGTTTTTTTAAGCCACTATGCTAGCCACAGGGACAGACATGTAGCCTCATGGTTCCCAGATTTAGTCCTGGTAGGTTTCATCTCTCCTGATGCCATCCTTCTCCATACCTTCTCATTTTTGTTCTTCCCATTTCCCATCTCATGTTTGTTCTTCAGTTCTTTCTGACCATAACCTAGCATTTACTTGGGCATTTCTCTACAATGATTCTGGTTTTATAGCTTGGTTAAGCTGTTTTAAGCTTGTCTCAGGTAAATTTCTTTTCTAATGTAACCCTGTCCCAGGACCCCCCTGCCTCCACCCCAATAGAATTGCCCCAGACCTACGTGTGGGAGCATACAGACACCATCCACTGAACGAAGCTTCTTTCTCTAAGACATCTGGTCTCAGGGATTATCCACAGCCCCGGCACCCACCCCTCCATCCTTCTCAGTTTCACTGGTAGTCCTGGGAGACTTTCTTCACCTTCTCTTTCCACCTTCAGCCTTAGGTTCATAGCTACTTGTGCTGATAGCAGAGATTAAAGAATGATTCAGGGAGTGTGCGTTTTTTTCCTTCTACCACAGGGCTGCTCTCCGAAGATTTTCTACTGAATTTAAACTAGCTTTGTCTCAACTGACCTGACATTTTCTCTGTATTCTCTTTAACTGTATTGATATCATTCTGTAAGGAGATAATGAGTTTAGCATGTTGTTCACTCCCTGCGTTCTTGTACTCTTCCCAGTATTCCTTCTCACTGAGTTTCTCAAGAAATAGTTTCTCAGCATTATTTATTTGCATGTGCATATCTGTTGAAAGAAAATAAAGATACCACGTCATTTCTTTTGTTCTTGCAACCATTATATGTTGCAATCAGATTTTATGAAGTTAAGGTCTGATACTACAATGCTGTTAATTCATAAATACAAGCTTTTAACTCCAATTAAAGGAAATCTGAACTATTAGAACTGTTGTTTATCCCTCATAATTCATAATCTAAGTAAAATTAAACTTCCAATTATAAAGTAGATGTGTGGTTTTAGGCCGTGACTGACAGCTATAATAGACAACCTATATGCCTAGGAACCCATAAGCTTAAATTATTCCCATGATAGCTTGATAAGAGTCCTTTTTTGTACAAGATTATGTTGCATATACTTTTTATTAATAAATTGTGATTTTTCTGACCATTATGCCTCTGGGCAAAGTGACCTCAACTTGTATCCTTGTGCTGTCCTTGGCAACCATTTTTGTAAGTAAGTTGGCTGATTCCATTATCTAAAGTTCATTGTTTGGGCTTCCCTGTGTGAAATGATACCATATCATACCAAATGATACCATGTCTTCTCCTGCCCCCACTTACTAAGGCCTTCAGAGTGAAAGATAAATTCACTAGGACAGTATGTGCAATTGAGCGATCTCAACTGTATAAACTTTTAGTTCACCCTGATGCACTTGCTAAACGTGATATGTTACTCAATCTTTAGGCGGGGTCTCATGCTTCTAAATATTTTGGAAATGGAAGCATGCAAAGAACAAGGTACGGTGAAGTGAATGGCTATTTGTCTCAATGCCACACACCATCTGGTTTGAGAGCTCCCTGAAGGCAAGACCACATCTTCTTCATGTGTGTAAATCCAGCACTTGGCACAGAGTCTGGCATTAGTTGGTGCTCAATAAATGTTTATGGAATGACTGAGACACTCCATTCAGGCCAGAGGGATGTTCTTCAGTACAGAGGGCCAGAAGGACTCCAGACATGTCTTTTTCCAAATATGTAAATAAGATATTTTTAAATCCCTTAATAAATGGCACTTGTTGCCATTAAACAATTAATACTGTTATAACCTATCTGATGATCTGTCCTCTTATTTGGTTAGATTGCTGCTATCTCCAGCACTCTCAACAATAGCCAAATTATGGAAAGAGCCTAAATGTCCATCAACTGATGAATGGATAAAGAAATTGTGGTTTATATACACAATGGAGTACTATGTGGCAATGAGAAAGAATGAAATATGGCCTTTTGTAGCAACGTGGTTGGAACTGGAGAGTGTTATGCTAAGTGAAATAAGCCATACAGAGAAAGACAGATACCATATGTGTTCACTCTTATGTGGATCCTGAGAAACTTAACAAAAACCCATGGGGGAGGGGAAGGAAAAAAAAAAGAGGTTAGAGTGGAAGAGAGCCAAAGCATAAGAGACTCTTAAAAACTGAGAACAAACTGAGGGTTGATGGGGGGTGGGAGGGAGGGGAGAGTGGGTGATGGGTATTGAGGAGGGCACCTTTTGGGATGAGCACTGGCTGTTGTATGGAAACCAATTTGACAATAAACTTCATATATTGAAAAAAAAAAAAAAAGATTGCTGCTATCTCAGCCCTGGGCCACATTCAGCCTTTGAGGGGAAGGCTGGTTAATGTCACTGAAGATTCTGGAAAAGAGGTGGATGTAGCGGCTATTGTTATACTTTCCCAGAACCTATCTCCCTTCCCTTCTCCTACCCCTTGTCAAATCAGTAGGCCAATTACAGTGGTCCCTTCTCTTGGACATAAGGATTTGTCCAGGGGTGAGCATGTGTCTCAAGCAAGGCACATGCTCAGAGTCCTTCTACTGAAACTGGTGGAAAACATGTCTCTTTTGTCTCCATTTTGAGGTTAAAAGGATGTAAGGTGAGGAGTGTCTATTGTCAGAGTTCCAGCCTCCTGGGGACAATAGCCTCAGTTAAAGGAGCCATCTTTCAGGGGGAAGACAGAGAGAGGAGAAGGATAAGAGGTAGAGGAGGAGGACAATGGGGGAAGAAAGAGGGAGAAGCAGAGGAGATAGATTAAAAAAAAAACAAACAAACTGAACTCTAACAGCATGTGAGGCTCTGGTGGGTCCAGGTCAGTAGCAATCTGCCTTTTCTGTTTGATTTTATGAAAAAATTAACATCCTTCTTAAGCTTAGGCTATAGTTTGGGTTAAATTTTTATCCTTGAGACTAAAGAGTCCTAAGTTGGAAAAAAAAAGGGGGTTACCTCAGTCCTTCTCAAACCTTCCTACGCATAGGGATCCTCTAGGGTCTGTCACAATGCAGATTCTAACTCTGTAGGTCTGGCTGGGTCTGAGATTCTGCCACCCCAAACTGGCTTGCCTGTAAGCGACTACCTGGTACCTGACAGAACTGCATCAGAAAGCCTTTTCAGAGCCACCTGCCCTCTCACTTTCCTCTCTCTCCTTTGGCACCTGTGGGCTCTTTTCTTTCTTGGATCACCTCCCATGCCCAGCACTCCTCCTCTGTGCCTGGTCACCCAGCTTGGCGCCAGTCTCATATGACACACACGTTCCATCACTCAGCCCAAACCATAAACAGGCACACCTCTGCTAGCTGGGCTCATTTCCCTGCGAAGGCAGTTTCATGAGCACATCTGAGTATCCTTTGTGGTCTCACTCCCACCTCAAGGGACTTATTAAAGTACTCCTTCCAAGCATAAGCAGAACTCTCCTGGAAAGGAGCCCTGAGAAATACAGTATCTACCACCTCACGACATCATCATTGCCCATAAGAAGATGGGTCAGAACAGGCTTATGGGAACAGTTGTGGAGACCCCTAAAAATGAAGTTTTCTGATGGCCGTTTTTTTGTGTTGTTAACTATTTCATTCAAAACCAAAAATAATTACAGATGGTGTGCTTGCTCTTTGTCAAGTGCTTGGGTAAGTGGGCTCTCTGAAATACTTGGGACACATTCAGGGAAGCAAGTCCTTGTTTTGCCTCCCAGCTTCTAGTACTGCTTCCTGAGAACACTCAATGTCTTTTCCCAAGTTTTCCAGCTTCCTAGCTAAGATGATACTTATAGAGGTCCTGGCAAAAGTGGTTCTGGAAATCTTAGCAGCAAGTTGAGGATAAAGGAATGAAAAACATTTTTTTTTTTTTTTGAGAGAGTGTGAGTGCACAAGTTGGGGAGGAGCAGAGGAGAGAATTCTAAGCAGGTGCCATGCTTGGTGTGGAGCCTGACTCAGGGTTCAGTCTCATGACTGTGAGATCACAACCTGAACTGAAATTAAGAGTCAATTGCTCCACCCACTGAGCCACGCAGACACCCTGAAAATCTCTTTTTAATGCATGTGTCAAAGCTATGTATGACTTCCCCACAGGACCACGGTATTTCCTAAGCCCATGACAAGAGGGTCCTGGGCCTCCTGGGAAATCCTGGGTCTTTCATCTTCTACACCCTAGCATCATTTCTATCCATGTCCGCCAACCTTCCCCCTGGTCAACTCTAATCCCTCTCTTCACCTAAATGGGAGTGTTTGCTCCTTTAGCAATACTGGTGTGGGGGGAAGCTTTATGGTAATATTCACCTTGTTCCCCAGTCTGAACTGAAGTTGAAGTCAAAGAAACTGCCAAACAAGAGAATTTCCCCAAGAAAGAACAAATCTCCACTGTGAGGACCTCAGGGTGGTAGCTAACAGGATGTTATCTAGTGTCAAGACCCAGGTGGTTTCCTTCTGTCTTTGTTTTTGATCAGTGCCCTTCCTCCTCCTCCTCACTTGGCTTCAGTAGCTCTGCCCACTTGTTATTTCCCTCGCCTGTCCATTTACCCACACGTGTGTGTGCTTGTGGTGTTAATGATCTCATCTGAAACATGTTCGTGGCATTTTGAACGTATTAGGAGACAAAAGCATTAACACATTCAAGAAATAATTTGATGCAGCTTTATAATTTTCCAAGTTCCTAAGTCACCTTTTAAGTTTTCTTCCTGGTCTCTTTCAAACTTCCATTTTTCCTTCATTGCTTCTTCAACATCTTCTCTTGTTACAACTGGTAATTCCTCCAACTTCTCTTCACTCAGCTCCTTCAGTAGGTTCCGTATGTGCCAAGTCTGTTCATCCTTCAAGCGTCTGTTCTGTCATGACAATCAACAGTAGGTAACAGCATCTGCTCAAGTATTTACATTGATTTGCCTCAAAACAGAGTCACACTGAGGCTTGCAAAATGAGAAAAAAACATTTAATGAAGTAAGTTTATACAATATCTCTAAAAGCTTATGGAATATGGAAGACTCAAAATAAAATTAAACCCATCAACATAGTAACTATTGGATAGAAAGTTACATTTTAAAAAATTGTGTTATTAATTTCCTAGTCTATCACTCTATTATAGGATCAGTGAACATTAAAGTTAGACCTTGGAGGCCAAATTCTTCAATCTCCCACTAATACCATTCTTCTCCAGCGATTGTCATTCATTTAGTCAGTATTTATGGAGCATCTACCATGTGCCAGGAGGTCTTCTAGACACTAGGAGTACATCAGTGAACACTATACACAAAATACAGTGGCACCTTCTCCTGGCCACTGGATTTGTCCAGGTTGAGCATGTTGTCTCAAGCAAGCATATGCTCAGAGTCCTTCCCTGGAAATACTTTCACTGAAACTGATGGAAACATGTTTTTTGGTCTCCATTTTGAGGTTAAAAGATGTAAGGCAAGGTAGGTGTCCATGGTCAGAGTTCCGGCTTCACAGGATCAACAGACTCAGAAAAAGGACGCTTTGGTTGCAAAGGTAATAATTTAACTGCAACTAGCCTAAGCATAAAGAGGATTTTAATTTTTTCATGTGACCAAACAGCCAAGGCAGGATGCCACATCTGGACCAGAGCCTTACATGCTGTCAGATCTCCGCTTTAAAAACTTTTTATAAATCTGCTCTCCCCCTCCTCTCTCAAACTCTCTCCTTCTCTGCTCTCCTATTCCCCCCCTTATCCCTCTTTTCTCTCTTCCTCTTGAAAGTTGACTCCTTTGTAAAATGGTACAGCTACTCTGCTAAAAAGGATGCCAATTTCTTATAAAACTAAACATTTGCCTATCATACAACTCAGCAACTAGGCTCTTAGGCATTTATCTCAGAGAAATGAAAGCTTATATTCACATTAATACAATGCTTACAAAACTGTATTTATCATAGCCAAATACTGGAAACAACTCACATGTCTTTCAAAAGGTAAATGGTTGAATAAATTGTGATATATTCATATCATGGAATAAAAATGAATAAAAGGAACCAACTAATTATACATGCAGCAAACTGAATCTCTAAAGAATTCTGCTGAATGAAAAGAGCCAATCTCCAAAGATTACTTACTATATGATTCCATTTATATAACATTCTTAAAATAACAAAATTATAAATATGGAGAACAGGTTAATGGTTGCCAGGAGCTAATGAAGGGGCAGAATTGGGAATGAGTGAGTAGCTATGTTAGGATAATATGAGAGACACCTGTGTTAATGGAAATGTCCTATGCCTTGACTGTATCAATGTCAATATTGTTAATGTTAATATCCTACTTGTGATATAGTACTATAGTTCTGTAATATGTTATAGGAAACCAGGTATGGGTATACAGGATCTCTCTGTATTATTTTTTTATAACTGCATGCTAATCTGTAATTATTTCAAAAAAGTTTAATTTAAAAAATGAAGATCAATCAATATTAGCAACTGATAAACAATTTATTGCTCTTTAATCAGTTCTCAAATAACTCCATTTTCTTAAATGAAATTGATTCATGTTTTGCTTTTCTTATAAATAAATTGAATTACTTTGGCTCAACATGAGTTATCTGAAAATGAAATATTTGTAGAAACTTGAATAATAGCAATGGAAATATCCCTTGCCAAACTATTGCACTCCTAATACTTTTTCTAAATATGGACTTTTCCACTTATTTTTGTAGAAATGGAAAATTCCTTTATCAAGTATAGTCCGAATACTAAATAAATCTTTATCTGATTTTATTTATGTTAGGTAATTATAGTAAGGCAATAATTGCCACAAAATCAATTCCAGCTGAAAAATAGGCAAAAAAATACCCAAAGACAGTGATCATTTAAAAACCACTACATATAATTCATAAAAGAATAGTGTGTAATGAATCAACAAATTTTCCTTTTACTTTCCATACTTAGCACAATACTTATCAAAGTGAATCCAGTCCTCTTAGATCAAATTTTTAACACAATGACTATCCTTTTAAAACATATGATATTTTCATTTATAAATTAAAATAGTATCATATGTCCTAAAGCTGTATTCAAAAATTACATAAACATGACTAAATCATATTTGGCATTATATATAAATTTAATAGCATCTGTTAAACTCCCCAAATCCCATAGTGAATTACAAGTGGATGGGACATGTGTCTGATAACATGTTACAAAATTTACTATATCTGAAAAATTATTTTGAGTGATATATGAAATACAATTTAGTTAGCTATATTCACCAACGTGTTTAAAACAAGACATTTATCCTACAAAGCAAACCATTATCACACCATAAAAATAGAATAAAGGAGATTAAATAAATAAACTACAAAGAAAGAACTGATTTTGTTTTGTTATAAGGCCGTCTCATGGGCTCTGACTTTTTAACTTTTTAAGATTTGCAAGAACAAGAAGTTGCCAGAATAGTACACAGAGCTTCGCCTTACTACACCCTGCTTTCCCCAATGATGACATCTTATATAACCACAGCACCTGAAAATGGAGAAGTTGACATTTGTACAATGGTATTAAGTAAATTAGAGAATTTAATTTGGATTTCACCAGTTTTTACATATGCTCATTTTAGTTGTTTTTAGGGGATAAGTATTAAGAAAATTTGCCACATATACATATGAGAATTATCACCAGACAGATGGCATTTGAAGCCATAGTGTTAAGTGAGGCCTTTAGATTTAAAGAGAAGAGTGGAGATCAGAACCCTGGAAAATACCTAATTAAGGGATGGTTCCGGGAAAAGAGCAATGAACGAAAAACAAGAAATAGTTGGAGAATATGGGGGAATATTAAAGGATGTGCTGGCAGCCAAAGGAAGAGAGAGTTTCAAGATGACAGGGCTGATGATGAAGGCACGAGAAATAAATTAAAGACTAAAAAGAGGCCATTGGACCCGACTAATTGGTCATTAATAACTTCTGTCCTAGCAGGTGTGGTGGAATAGCACGAGTGAAAGGATGAAATGGAGGTAAGGAAGTGGACACAGTGAACTATGAAATGTCTAATGACATGAGTGGAGCATACAGAGAGAAAGAAAGATAATCAATGAAGTGACTGTCCAAACAAAATTCACACAAAGGAGGACATGATGGGGAGGAAGGATTTCTGAGTTTGACCTAATGGAAGAGAAAAAGTAGGTCTTGTTAATGAGTCATATTTAATTTAGCAAGTAAATATCTGTGACCTCAAAAATGTTTCCTTCACTGGTGTTAGTGTGAATCAACTCAACAACTATTTATCGAACACCGACTCATGCTGGGCCCTTCCGGAGAAACAAAGGTAAGTAAGATTTGATTGCTGCTCCCTAAAGAGCTTTCAATTTAATAATGGAGATACATTGTATGGAGCATTCCAGCTAAGCTTGGGGGAACAAAAAGGAGCTGGCCAAGAGAAGAGCATTCTGGAGGATGAAACAGCCTGAAGAAAGGTACAATAACGAGCAAGACTAGGGGCGCCTGGGTGGCGCAGTCGGTTAAGCGTCCGACTTCAGCCAGGTCACGATCTCGCGGTCCGTGAGTTCGAGCCCCGCGTCGGGCTCTGGGCTGGTGGCTCGGAGCCTGGAGCCTGTTTCCGATTCTGTGTCTCCCTCTCTCTCTGCCCCTCCCCCGTTCATGCTCTGTCTCTCTCTGTCCCAAAAATAAATAAAAACGTTGAAAAAAAAATTAAAAAAAAAAAATAACGAGCAAGACTGGGTTTTCCAAGATTTAAAAGAAGCAGTGGTGAGCAAAGGGTGGAACAACTGGAGACAAGGTTGGAGAGGTGAGCAGAGGTCAGATCTTGTAGGGCCTCAAAGACTTTAGTAAGGAGCATGGATTTAATTTTCTGTACCATAGAAAGCCACTGTAGGGTTTTAAGCATTGAAAGGTTTACGGTATTCAAAGGGTTGCACTGTGGAAAATGTACTGAATAGAAGAAGGATGGGTAAGAGTTGGTGGCAGCCTCAACTGTGGCAGTAGCAGCATAAATGGAAAGAAATAGATACATAGCTGGAACTAGTCTCCCTCTCCATGTTCGTCACTGCTGGGTCCACATGACCCCAGAAGAAGACATAGGCCTATCCCATAGTCATGAAAATCAGAATTTTGTTTCTGGCTTCAAATGAGGGGCTATGGGAAAGTGATCCCTCAGTCCTGATCTGTTGTCATTTCCACAACCAATGGAAGTCCCAGTGCTGACCACCGGGTGGTGTGCATTGGTCCTTGACGGCAGTTCACGCATCTAATGTGCTGTGGAGCTCATCATGTGGAACCTGCATCCAAGCACCTAGACCAAATGTCCCCTTTCCATTTTCACCCACAGACCTGAGTTTCTGATCAACAGACTTTAGTAACTGATCGTTGAGAATCACGACAATGTCAGGGTCTCAGTTATATCACCACCATGTCTAGTCCCCAAAATATTGCTGAATGAATGACCAAATTAGCCCTATTTGGAAGACAGGAATCCCATGTTATAGGAGGGAAACTGGGGTTCACATCAGTTTTGGCCAAAATGCTACCAGCCTTAAGTTGTACAGTCAGGATGCAATCTCAGGTCTCTGACCCCAGACTCCACTAAAACTTGTAGATATAGTCATTTTAGACAAAAGCCAAATAAAACAGTTAACTGTGGAAGCTTTAGAGTCCATATAAATGTTTTAGTAGAGAATAGTCTCAGCGTTTCCTTATCCCCTTAAGGGAAAAATTGTGTTAATTATCACTTAGTCATATACAGCATGACTTTGATATTCATTTCAATCTGATTTTATAAATACAACATATCATCTTAAACATCAGTCATTTTAACAACTGAGATTATACTTTTCAAATAATATTTACATATGCACACTCTGAAAATCTAAGAGCAAAAAGATATAGAAATTAAAAACAGAGACCCAATGTTTTATCATTTGGCTAAATAAGAAATTAAATGATAAATGTGGTTTCAGAGCCTTAAAAATTTTAACACAAGACTGAATGTCATCATGTCTAAATAACACAGCTCCAGCTGACTTCCTTCGACACTGTAATTAATATAATAGGAACAGCAGTACCCTTTTGCCTTACATGTACAAAAAACTTAGATTTTAAATTAATCAATTCCAAGCACTAAAGAAGATACTTTCCTAGAGTACATGTCATCATAATTCACAATTTTTAAAGCATTTGTGTAAATGTTTAATAACCAGATATAAGCTTTAAATGTTATACTCACTCTTTCATGATACTTTTGGTTCTTTTCTCTAAGTCTCTTTATTTGAGCCATAAACCGTTCTACTGCATTTTCCTTTATTTGACAGCTGATAATAAACAAAGATAAGATGTTTTACAATTATTTAGCTTGGAAAATTAATGGGCCAAATTTAAAATTTTAAACTAAATTATTTGAATTGAAATAAAGTATTAGATACATTATAAAAACCCATTTAGGGATCAGAAAACTTTTTAAGTGATTTGTGTGTGTGTGTGTTTCTGAGTATATTTTCCTCACTAAAATATATATTGGAGAGATAACTTCAAGTTTCTTTTTCTTAAATCAATCCCCATTTGTACTTCATAATTTTTATACTTTCTAACTATCTATAAATAATTCAGCTTAAAGGGAACCTAAAGAAGGGCATACAGAAAACATGTTTTCTAGAAATCTAAATATTTCAAACAAAAATGACAAAACAAAGGCTTTATAAGTGCAGGCACATCTTCTTGAAAGAGAAAGATATACTAGGCATATCTTTGGTTCAAGTTCCTTAGCACGCCATCTCTTCTATAAATAATAAAAACTTTCCTGACACAAACACATTTCTTTAATACCCAACAAGTATTTGTTGAGCATCTGTCAGATACAAAGGAGAGACAGAAAGGTGCAGGAAGACTTTGATGTGGGCTATGTGATAAATATTTGAAGTGCTAAGTATATCTCTACTACCCAGTACATCTTGTAACTTTAAATCTGAGACCAAAGTAACACAATGGAAACAACTTCATGTAAATACCTTGCCTCAATTAAAACAAAACAAAACAAATATGTAGCACCTCTGTGGTGTAGTGAACAGAGACGCTTTTAAAGATTGAGCAACTCTTGTTTTCAATCTTGTCCCTGTCCCTTCTTACCTACATGATCTCAGGCAAGTCACTTCTCTGAGCATCAATTTCCAAGCTATCAGTGATGACAACAATACCTAGCCCTAATCCTATAAGGATTAAAATAAGAAATTGTATGTGAATGTTTCTAGCATAGAGTAAGTGCTTAGTAAATTTCATTGAAGTGAATCTTATATCCTCAGCCCTTCCTCCAAAATACCATTTATATTTGTGATATTGCATATTTGGTAGAGAGAAAAATAAGGCTCCTTCTTTCCCAATAATGAGAAAATGCAACATAAAAACAAAACAAGCAATCCATTTTAGTGGCAAAAGTACTCTGTTTGGATACTATGAAACTTGGATTTCAGGCCTGCTTCTCCACTAACTGCCCAAGGACTCTTCACCTAGTTAGGCCTTGCCTTACTCTTCTGTAGGTAAAAGAATTGAAGGGGATGAGCTCTATAGTTTTTCAGTTCAAAAATTATACAATTTAAATTGACCATTGTTCCCTTTCATTCATTCACAAATAACAAGATTTAATGAGCTGCTGCTTTGTGCCCAGTATTGTTTATGACATTATGGAGATAGTGTTGAACAAGACCTCTGTGATTCTTGCCCTCAAGGAGCTTACATTTTATTAGACAATAAAGAAGTAAACACGCAATCATATTATTTACCCATTGTTATGGGGGAAATAACAGGCTAAATGGAAGGGTGGTTTCCACACAATAATAATAAATAAGTCTATAGGTAGGTATAAACCATCTTTTTACTTCTCACCTAAAGCTTAGGTATGCAAAAATTTTGAAGGAGTGCCTTCTCTACCTCCCATTTTAAGGAGAAAAATAAAAAATATTATGAGAATTATTTGAAAAAAGGCTATGCAAATGTTCACACATTAGGCAATTTCTGCAATTACAAATATGGCAACCTAACTCTCAGTATGGGTGAAGCAGGCAAATGAATCTCAAATATGTAGTCTCCATTGGTTGAGAGAGTCTTTGGATGGTCTAGTTAATAGACTTACTAATGGCTTCAGCTGAGAGCCTTCCCTGCTGATGACTGAGTATACAAAGATGGGTCCAGAGACTACATCCTGCCCCAACCCCAGCTGCTGCATGGCACAAACTTACATTAAAAAAAATTATTTCATATTCATTTTAAATTCAAATTTAATTGCGCATCTGGTAATTTTATTTGCTATATCTGGCAACCTTACACTTCAGCCAACCACCCCTCTGCTCAGAGCAGTTAGGGGCAAATGACCTAGGGCTCTGTCTTTTGTTCCTTCTGCAGTGAGCTGTTCAGAAAGATCTAAATGGCACCGGCAGGCCTGGGGGAGATTCTGAGATGCCCAAAAGATTTTGGTGGCTTCATTGGCTCAATTGTGGCTCACATGGTAGTCATAGGTCTAAGCTGAGTCTTTCCTTGGAATTTACTTCAACCTCCTTAGGTCTCATGAAGATGAAACTGAACTTCAGAACTCAACACTCTTAGCCACTGTGGGAGTTCAAGCTTCACTCTTCTCTATATACTTTTTCCTTTTTATAACTTTCTCAGATGCCATAGTAGCCCACATGTCACACTAAATGCTGAAGCAAGTTGGACGATAAACTAATGAGATAATAGATATTAAAGCCGTTTGGAAAGGATACACATTATTCTGAAGCACAGTGATATGAAATGGTTAGTAATACAAGGTGTCACCTTCCCCCTTACCTCGCTGTATTATTAAAGTGTTATTAATGTGTCAACTTTCTCCCTCCATGCAATTTCATTGAAAATTCTCAGAAGGAAAATAGATAAATCTGGATTTAAAAATTTTATACTTTTATCTATTTTTTAACCTATAATAATATCTATACCTATTTCTAGATCTATTCACACATTGTAGAAAACTGGGGGAAAAACAAGTACAAAGGAAAAAATAAAAACCACCATTACCTAGAAATGGTGTCACTTTATAGATTTGGCATTGACAGTTTCAGCTCTTCACAATCATAGAGGTTCATGACCTTATTTTCTTGGGATATATTTAAAAAAATGTTCAGTTGTTCGGAAGTCATTGATTACCTACTATGTGCTCCCAGCTCTTTGTTCTAAAATAAGATTGTGTAAGAGAGAAGGAAGATACTTCCAGGGGACCCTTGGACAATCCTTTCTCAGATGGTGAGGTGAGTGTTTTGGCCAATTTGTCATGTGACAAAAGTTCTGTCACCTGGGAACACCTGGAATGAGTCAAGTGTCACTAACAGAGTATGGTACAGTCAGGCCTCGACTGTTTCAGTCCATGAGATTATTTAGTCTTAACAAAGCAGAGAACAAAAGCATGAGATGTTCAGTTTATATCTTGTGCTAGATCATGAGAATTTTTAAATGTCTTTTTTTTTTTTTAAATTTTTTTTTCAACGTTTATTTATTTTTGGGACAGAGAGAGACAGAGCATGAACGGGGGAGGGGCAGAGAGAGAGGGAGACACAGAATCGGAAACAGGCTCCAGGCTCTGAGCCATCAGCCCAGAGCCCGACGCGGGGCTCGAACTCACGGACCGCTAGATCGTGACCTGGCTGAAGTCGGACGCTTAACCGACTGCGCCACCCAGGCGCCCAGAATGTCTGTGTTTTTGTAAACCTCTGTTAAAGACTGGCCTCTGATTGACCTACAAGAGAAATGGTTGTATTTGGATGTCATCATTGTAAACCATGGCAGCAAATTAGAGAGCAGGTTGTATTCCTAGAGCCTTTTTGTCCACCTCTCCGAAGATGAGATGAGGGAAGTTTTCAGTTATGTTGACAAATGAGTGTGGGTAGTTTCTGGTTATAACTTAATGTTATCTCAAGTAAAAAATAAAAGGGAACTTTGTTACAAGTCCCTTCTTGGGTTTCTCAGTGTTCTGACCCTTTCAGTCAACTGCTCTCTAAAAAGAACAGACAGATAGATTTGGAGTTTCTCAAGAAGGAGGTAGATTTTATCTGAATGTTGTTAAAAACTAGCCAGTGTCACAGGCTAGTCACCAGCATTCCAGGCTCCCCACTTTCAGTCTTGTTCCTCTCCAATAAATAGTTTCTCATACTGACTCCCAAATATTCCACTGGACTCGGTTTATCTGACCCTTGCATACATCATCAGTTCAGTCTTACCCTTTCTCCCTCACTCTGCCTTCTCTCAGTTCCTGGGATGTGAAACCTCTCCCTCACTCCAGGATTTTTTTCCATAAGCTTTTCTCTCTTTTACTTTATCTCTCCATAATACCTATTCCTCTTCCAGAGATCAGCTCCAACGTCACTTCCTCAACAAGTTTTTCCTGACACCTCTGACCATAGTTTAAACCTTTAGTTAAACTGTTACACAGGACCCTACACTTTTCTTTCATAGTGTCTTAATTGCAGCTATGCAATTTTGTAAAAAAAAGCTTGAATTAGTTGTCTAATGTCTGTCTCCCATGTCTCATCAGGGCAGGAACCAGGTTGTCTCTTTGTTGTTGTCCTTTAGCACTTGCCTTGGACTTGGTAAATATTCAAGTACTTGTTCAGTAAATGCAGGAATGAAGTACATGCTTTTTTAAAAATTTTAATTCCAGTATAGTTAACATACAATGTTATATTAGTTTCACATGTACAATATATCAATTCAACAATTCTGTACATTACTCAGTGCTCATCATGTTAAGTGTACTCTTAATCCCCATCACCTATTTCACCCATACCCCTACCAACCCCCTCTGGTAACCATCAATTTATTCTCTATAGTTAAGAGCGTGTTTTTGGCTTCTCTCTCTCTCTTTTTTCTTTTTGTTCATTTGTTTTGTTTCTTAAATTCCACATATAAGTGAAATCATATGGTATTTGTCTTTCTTTAACATTTCACTTAGCATTGTACTCTGTAGATCCATCCATGTTGTTGCAAATGGCAAGATTTTATTCTTTTTTATGGCTGAATAATATTCCATTGTATATGTTGAATAATAATGCTGAATAATATTCCATTGTATATATTGTGTGTGTGTGTGTATATATATATATATATATACACACATATACTGTGTGTGTATATATATATATATATATATATACACACACCCACACGTATACTCTGTTGATCTATGTATCTATTTTTGTGCCAGTACCATACTATTTTGATTACTACAGCTTTGTAGTATATCTTGAAATCTGGGATTATGATACCTCCAGTTTTGTTCTTCCTTTTCAAGATTTCTTTGGCTATTCAGGGTTGTTTGTGGTTCCATGCAACTTTAAGGATTATCTGTTCTAGTTCTGTGAAAAATGCTGTTGGTATTTTGATAGGGATTGCATTAAATGTGTGGATTGCTTTAGGTATATGGACATTTTAACAATATCTGTTCTTCTGATCCATGAGCATGGAATATCTTTCCATTTGTTAGTGTCATCTTTAATTTCTTTCATCAGTGTTTTATAGTTTTCAGAGTATAGGTCTTTTACCTCCTTCAGTTTATTCCTAGCTATTTTATTCTTTTTGGTGCAGTTGTAATGGGATTTTTTTGCTAAGTTTTTCTTCTGCAACTTCATTATTAGTGTACAGAAAATGCAATCAACTTCTGTATACTTATTTTGTAACTTGTGACCTTACTGAATAAATCAATCAGTTCTAGTAGTTTTTTGGTGGGGTCTTTAGGGTTTTCTATGTATAGTATCAAGTCATCTGCAAATAGAGTTTTACTTCTTCCTTCATTACCATTGTGGATACCTTTTATTTGTTTTTCTTAGCTGACTACTGTGGCTAGGACTATGTTGAATAAAAGTGGGAAGAGCGTACATCCTTGTCTTGTTCCTGACCTTGTTCCTGACCTTCCTGAAAAAGCTCTCAGTTTTTTGCCACTGACTATGATGTTAGCTGTGTGGCTTTCATATATGGCCTTTATTATGTTGAGGTATGTTCCTTCTAAACCTACCTTGTTGAGGGTTATGAAGTACATTCTTGTGTGTAAAAGAATGAAATGAATTCATTCACTCCTTAAGAATTACACATTAAAACACCTACCCTGTGTCAAAAGCTGAGGTTCAAAATCTCTCCAGGAGTTTACTATCTATGAAAACATAAATATAGAATAGGTATTACCTTTAGTTTTATCTTCAGCTCCTGGGAGTGAGACATTAAGAAATATTGTTATTAAAAATAATTCTATCTTTTGGATTTGATCTGTAGCCACTGGAGATGACACTAACTCTTCTCTGTTGTATTTTAAGAGGTAAGCCAGCCAGCTGTTATATACAAAGTGTACACAGTATGTGGGAGAGTGACCAATAATACAATGGAGGGAGAGAGAGATCCAAAACCACATTAATGAATGCGGTTTCACAGCTACTACTTGGAATATATTATAGTCAAAGTTTCAAAACTTAATAAAAAAGTCTGCACATAGCACAAGAGTTCAATTATGCTTCCAATCTACCTCTAGTCTGGCTCTCTTGACAACTTTTGAATGCATTACTGTCCATTTGGAGTTATATGAATTTTAACAATGATTTCCATTTACATGTGGGGATGTTTGGATTTCATAATCTAAGCTTACTGATAGTCTAGAAGTGCTTCACTGGTAGGCAATTGGACTTCTTTGGGTGGCTCATTTTGAATATCCTTTTTATTTGCTTTCGCTGTGTTGTCCATTGTGTTGCTTCGTTAGTAAGAGGTATGCCTGTTTAGAAAAGAAGTAGGAAAAGCAAATAAATTCTGTCTTTGCCCCTCTACTTGTGTTTACTCAAGATAAGGAACTGCCAGCACTTAATTTAAAACTGTTTTTCCATTCAGGCTAGGAAACCTAGCAGACCTATCATCCACCACAGTGCTGGGACATCAGTGAATCAATGGATTCTTGAGTCTAGTAAGTTCCGTATTTGGACCAGGTACAGCATTTCCCCATTCCAAAACATTTTCTTTTCTTTTTTTAAAGTTTATTTTGCCAGAGATTTGAGCACACATGCTCACATGTGCAGTGGGGGAGGGGGAGGGGGAGAGGGAAGGGGAAGGGGAGGGATAAAAAGAATCCCAAGTAGGCTCCCTGGTGTCAGTGTGGAGCCTGCAGTGGGGCTTCATCCCAGGAACTGAACTGGGAGATCGTGATGTGAATCGAAATCAAGAGTCAGCTACTCAACCAACGGAGCCACCCAGGTGCCCTTTCCTACCCAAACTTTCTAAGACACTCACCCCCTTATGTTATCCATCTACATCTCTTGTCCCTATCAAGCTTTTCTAAGAACAAGGACTATACTTTTCCAGTCATTTTATTTCTCCACAGTGTTACTGCATATAATAACAGCTCAGGAAATGTCTGTTAATTTTTTTTTTAATTAAGACAAAACAAAAAAGCACAATTTTCTGTGAGCTAGAATCCAAAGAAACTAGAATCCAAAAGAATTAGGTATGGCTAGGGTTGTTAGAGCAAATAAAAGCACATATTCAAATGTTTTTTTAAATGGCTAAAAGGTTTACAAATGCAAAGTAATAATAATAATGTAATATTTAGCAGTCACTGCTCATCAGCTATCGATTGCTTTTTATCTAATAATAAAAAATTATCAAAAATAATAGATTTTAAGAGTGAAAAATCAGGTCCACTGTTCACAGATTTTTATATGAACAGGAATACTTGATGGATTTTGTATAGGTACTAAAGTACTTCTTTTCAGATTATAATCTTAACAGATTTTTATCTTCTAATTTCCATTAAATAAAAACAATAAATGCCTAAGCTTCAATCAAAGTAGTAGTAGTTGGGTATGGTAGAAAGAATTTAACCTTTGTAATTATTTATTTAGATGGCTGGGAAGTCCATGAGAGTGGGCATGATGTAATTCTTGTGCATTACTGTATTCCCCACCTAGCACAAGTAGATGCACAGTAAGTCCTTGTCAAAGGAAAAACTGGATGGATAAATCAGGCAGACATGTTTTAATCCTATATCCACCACCTATTATCTATGTGACCTTGGGTAGGTGACTTAATCTTTCTGAGCTTCAGTTTCATCATCTATAAGTTAAGAGCAAAAATCATACTTTAAAAGCTGTTGTAAGGATTAAATAAGCCATTATTATTTTTTTTTTTTAATTTTTTTTTTCAACATTTATTTATTTTTGGGACAGAGAGAGACAGAGCATGAACGGGGGAGGGGCAGAGAGAGAGGGAGACACAGAATTGGAAACAGGCTCCAGGCTCTGAGCCATCAGCCCAGAGCCCGACGCGGGGCTCGAACTCACGGAGCGCGAGATCGTGACCTGGCTGAAGTCGGACGCTTAACCGACTGCGCCACCCAGGCGCCCCAAATAAGCCATTATTTAAAGCACCTAGCATAGTGGCTGACATACAGAAAGAGCTTAGTTAAGTATTATGCCCTTTTAGTTAAAGCTCCAGATCAGGCTTTTTCGAACTCCGGGTAACTAAAGCAGAGGATGTCTACCCAATGCCAAGTATAATGATGTGTGGAAAAACTAATCCATGCGGTTTGCTATTGTCAATCTTCATCATTGACTTGGGTCACTGACTCGGCAATCTACATAGATCACTGAGATCCACAGTGGAAAATGTCTCTGAAATGAAACACTTCTTCCTAGACATGCTGTTTTCACACCTAGACCTCCAGTGAGGCTCAGTCTTTGTGTCTGAGACTTTTCTTTTCCAGCCAGTGTGCTCATCTCTACATTCTAACAGATTCGAGTATATGTGAATGCAAACATACTATATAATACTTTCCAAATGAAAAGCACACAGCTGTCAACAAAAAGATTTAACACATTAACACCGAGTAATATATTAAGTGGTATCTTCTCAGATGTGAAAGTATTGAGAATAATTTCATAAACTACACAATAAAAATGTGTCATTCTCCCATCACAGTTCACAGAAACTTGGAAGTTGAGTAAAAATTGCTTTTGTTTTGTTTTAGATGCAGAGTTGAATTTTTATATTATTTTCTATTTTAGAATTAGAAATTTTAACTTGACTATTGCACAAAGAGATAACATGCTGACAAGTGTATCATTTTGCAACAATAACTTACTACTTAACAGTGATTGTTTTACTATAAATATTTTATTTAAAAGTTAAAACAAATGTTAACATTGATCTCTAATTTTCCTTCTGAGTCATATGAAGGAGATCAAGTGTTAGAGTTTCCATCTATAATACCCATCTGGTGCTGGAGGAAAAATGACCTCATCTTGCTCATTACCTCAGTTACCTGGCTCTTAAGTTTTCAACTCTCTGACTAAAGTATTATTAGTTACCTAACTGCAACTCATGGCAAAGCACTTTAACAAACTATGAGTGAAAATGTGGATCCATTAGCACAAATTATTTATCCATAAACTATTTTAAGATTCATTGTTTTACATACTTTCCAGAAAATCAGTAAGCAGAGGATTGGCCTCTTAATAGATGCATTTTTGCAATGAGCTAATGACATTACTTCAGAATGTCCTTCTACATTTGATAACGTCCTACAAACAATGGGGATTTTCATAAACATTTACAAGGATTGACGGTTCCTGTCCACCTAGAGGACTTCTATCTCAGCAAAGGGTGAGGACCCTAGAAAAATATTCACACAGTAATGTAGGTTATCTTCCAGGAGGTTTTATGAAGAATAATTCTTGACAGATGGACACCTAATCTGTGTCAGTAACTGCAAACATCTATCTGGTGCCTGCTCTGTGCATGGCACGTTACCTGGTCCTTAATTATAACATATGGAAGAGGCAAGATCTCTACTCAGATGGATAGGAAGAAAGAAGCATACTCTAGTAGGACTTTTAGAAAAATAATGAACAACTTTAAAAGGCTAGCAAGATTGTGCAGGCAATGAATGCTCTGGAGATCTTTGCTCACAGTATGACCTTTTGTACTATCTGTTTGTCCTTTCCCAATGCTCTTTGGGCATTCCATAACATATGCCATAGAGCGATGGCAGGCGAGGAGGCTAGGTTTGAAAGACTCAGGTCTCCAGCCTTTTCAGAGCCTACTCCATAATCACTTTCTGTCAGAAAATTTTTCAAAACATATTCCCCAAATGCTTCTCAGTGGAAAGGAAGAAGTCTGTTTAGAAAAAAATGGACATAGAATAGCCATCTTATTCAAATGTACTGTTATCCCATAATGCTTTACTTGACTCTGCAAAATTACCCCCCCAAAAAACCAAAGAGTGCATTCTCAGGATCCTGGCTCAATACTGAGAAAGCTCCTAATGACTTTTTTCATGACTTTGTGGAGATATCCAGAAGCCTCCTAATGACTCTTTCCAAATTTTGTGGAGGCTGAGAGGGATGGCAGCTCTGCCCTAATAGCTTTTTTGACATTTGAAATGGATTCTGATGTTTGTTATGTAGATTAAAATGGAAGATATCTACTTAACAGCATTAGTAACGGTAAAAGTTCTGAATATGATTTCATCAGAGATTGAGGGCATGATTTAGTGAAAAGATCTCTATATGGGTGTGGGAAGTCTCGAAGTCTATCTAGTACTGGCTCTGCCATTAACTAGCTGTAAATGTGTATGTCTAATAAATAATAATAATGTAGTAGTATCCCATTATAGTGTTAATTGCAATATATATTTGAAAGCATTCATGGTGTTATATGTTCATTTTCAACAAAATATAATTCCTTTAATACTGAATAACAACTAACCGCTTCAACAAACCATCTTTGGGTTTTCAAAAATATATGTTGGAACATATATTTGGAATATATATTTTCAAAATATGTTTTCAAAATATATGTTGGAACATACCTTGTTGGACACAAAGTAGATGCTCAATAAATGTCTAATTTGAATGACCTGCAAATAATGTATACTCACTTTCTTTATCCATGGCCCTATTTATTTTCTCGTAATGTTGTATATACCCTGAATTTAGAAAGTAAATCACTTTTAAATTCAAATTCTCACTTATGCTAGAACATATTGTTAATACAATATTTAAATGTTTTAGAAATGCTTTTCAGTGTAGGGGTGCCTGGCTGGCTAAGCCGGTTGAGCATTTGACTCTGGATTTCAGTTTGGGTCATGATCTCATAGTTTGTGGGATTGAGCCCCACATCGCTTGGGATTCTCTCTCCTTCTCTCTCTGCCTCTCTCCCACTTGTGCTCTCTGTCTCTCTCAAAATAAATCAATAAATAAACATTTTAAAAAAGAAATGCTCTTCAGTGTATGTTAAAAAGCGCTGAATTCATTTAAAGCCTTTTAGTAGTGAGAATATCACCTAAAAGTTAGCTTAAAACAAATTCAGTCCTTTTTTAGTATAGATTATGTATATACAGCCCAAAACAGCTTTAAAATGTAAAACACAGCCAGTTTGGAGATATGTTAAACAACCAAATATTCAAATCAAGATATTTAAAAATATCTGGATAAATAACACTTTCAACTTTCACATGCCTAATTGGTGATGTACATTACATTACCATGTATTTTTTTCACCAATACAAATCCTTTGGTCAGTGGGACATTTCTGAACTGCAGTTCCTAAATTACACTTAGCTTCTGAATTGGTCTATCTTCTGATCCAGATTTGCTAATAACAAATAGTTTGAGAAGCATTATATTATACTAATTTCTCTAGCAACCAGAACTACTACATTTTTTCCCCAACTCCTGCTGTCCTTCAAGCTTAGA